TATCTTTTGAAGAGAAACGAATCATTCGCAGATAATTAGAGATTCTAAGCCCAATGAAATTTTCAAAAGAAACAAAAGAAATTGGGATAAGTCTTCCGAAAGAAGTTAAAGACTTCAACACTTTAAAAACTCTCCAATCTATTAAATATCTTTCGAACGGATGATTCCTTTCTACTAAATTTTCCTAGCCCTTTTCAAAAGATTAATTATATTTTTACTCCTCGAGAAAGATTCGTTCCACTTTCTTAGCCTGCCGAGTCCCTTTCGATCGATTGGTTCCGTATTCCCGAAATCTCTATTCTTGTCGAAAGATTCATTCGCTCTTTTTCTCAGATTCTACGCCTCTTTCTCGAAACCTCTAGTCCCTTTCGAACGAATCGTTCCTTATCTGAATCTCTAGTCCCTTTCGAAGGATTCGATCTAATCCCTTTCGAACAGTTCCATCCTCCTTCTCAAAGCTTCTAGTCCCTTTGAAATAATTCGTTCTTTTCTCAATGTTTCTAGTTCCTTTCTATCGGGTTCCTTCTTTCCGATTCTTGAATCTCTTCCGAATCGGTCGTGTCTCTTTCTCAGATTCTCTACTCCCTTTCGAGCGGCTCGCTCCTTTCCAAGGATTCGTTCTCTTTCTCAGATATTTTTTAAATCTTTAGAGTAGTTCGCTCCCTTTTCTCAGATTCCCTGGTCCCTTTCGAACGGTTAACTCCTCTTTCTTCTCAGATTCTTTAGTTCGTTTGGGCGAAGGGTTCATTCTCGTTCTCAGGTTCTTGAACCTCTTTCGAAGGGCTCGCACCCTTTCCTCAGATTCTCTAGCTCCTTTCAAACGGTTCGTTCTTCTTTTTTGTAGCCTCTTGTCCCTTTCTAAAGATTGGCTCTCTGCCCAGGTGCTTTGAATCTCTGTGGAAAGGCTGGCTCATCTTCTCAAAATCTCTGGTCCGTTTCGAGCGGCTCGCTCCTCTTTCTGCAAGTCTCTGGTCCCTTTTGAACGATTCGTTCCATCTTCTCAACATCTCTCATCCCTTTCGAAGGAATCGTTTTCTTTCTTTCTTAGTGTCTCTATATGAACCCATCATCTTCATGTAACCAGGAAATAAGTCGTTGATTCAGTTTCTCTTACAGTGCTTAGAACAGAAGATCTTTGAGATGTGAGAACCATTATGACTTTAGCGCTAACTCTATACATAAGATCACGGAGTTTCTAGAGTCTGAACAAAACTAGTATGAGCCGCAAGGATTCTCCATGCCCGGTTCGCAGCAAATATACTCCGAATTCAAGTATGGTATTTTGATTTGATTTCCTGGATCGAGGTTACACTGTTGCCACCTTGGGCGTCTTCTGGCAAGATCCTGTATGTTGCGCGCGCCTGGCACCACGGACAGATGGCAAGAATGAGCGCTCGAATCGCAAAGCTAAAACGCCGCCCACACACTTCGGCCTCATCGGACACGACAAGCGAAGACACGTTGACCTTGCGGCTCACGAACCAGCGCCGATGCAATCACGTTGATGCCCAGGCAAGCAGTGCACACACCTAGGGCACATCTGGTCAAGGAGCGTTAAACGTGCGAACCGCATCTAGTCCAGGTGCACGGTCTGCAGGAATCGGAGCCTGCTGGAAACTCATCGCGTTGCAGTGTTTCTGTGACGTTTGACTTTCTTTCCGCAGCAACTACCAGCACCACAGGATCTTGCGGACAGTGCTCCTTGCTTATGAGGAGCCTCTGCAGCGATGTCGATCTTAACCATTCCTCGCCGCTTCCTGAAGCCAATCGGGTCGAAAGTGCACCGCACACGAACTCACGATCCATGTGAACCAAGAATTTCAGAGGCTTTCGGAGATTGATCTCAGCGACGACTGCAATTATCATGCAGCCCGGATCTGGCAAGAGACTCTCAGAAATCAAAAGCAAGAAAGTCTGCGTCAGCAGCACGGCTGCACCATGCTGCACTTGAGGTGCAGGCTCCCTGATGCATTTCAGGTGGGCCACCTGCCAGCGAGCAATTTTCCACGACACTCCTCCCCGGTGCACCCCAGCGCACAGCTTTCTGTTGCCTTGAACACGACGAACTGGCCACATGTATACCAGAAGAGGAGCCGGGCCCATTTCAATGCAACCTAGGCCGAGAGCTGATTCTGGGGCCTAGCAATGGGCCTGGCTTTGCCGTGATTTGCCGAGTTCTGCACATGGAGCTTTGTCTGTTCCTGCTGCACCATGGCAGTCCACGTAGGCTGTGGACCGAACCCAACAGACCGATCGTACGTTACCTCAGGTGTTGCAGGTTCTGATCGCCCAAGCCTGACAAGCGATCTGACCCTTTTTGTGGGCCAAACGAGCTGCGTTTCCGCGCTTGCCTGCGCAAGCAGGCTGGAACAAAAGTGGACCGAGCCCGAGATCAGATCGTTGGATTGCCTTTGGGGAAAAAACCACAAAGTATCCTCACCGCGCCATGCCCGCATGCACAGTGACTTCGAACGATGCTCGTGTAGAATCTCCGCATAATTTTGAAGCTCGTGAACTCTTTCATTTTTCACATGCTTAAATGGCAGCTACCAGTAGGTAAGGAGCCTCGCGGAGGATTGCAAAACGCCGCAGAACGTAGTCTGCCCGGAGCAGCTCCTTTAAGGACCCAGATGTCCAAGATCGGTGTCAGACCCCGTGATGGCATGCTGCAAACAAGCCGTCGATTCTTTTTCGTTCGCAAGAACTCGGCCCATGCTCGGTCGGCATCCAGCAATGCCGCTTCAGGCTGCAATCGCGAAAAATAGCGCAGCGATTCTGGGCCTCAAAACTACATGCATGACAACAGAGATTCACGTCTGTGAACTTTGCAGGTGCACCTTGGAGAGAGGTCAGAAGTACAAGCGTGAAAGAACGCTCACAAGTGCAGAAACTAACCCGACAAAAAGAAAGAGCTGCTTCATAAAGAGCTCTCTTGTGAGCTTCGTGTCTCTGACAATGAAGCCGGCCGAGCTGTCTGCGATAAATCGAACCAAGTATTGTCTGTCGGCATCGAGGCTACTCCTCGTTAAGATCTGGTTCACAAATGCAGGGATGCCCTGGCATTTTTCCGTCAGCTCTGCACCGTGAGCACATACATGTAAGCTGAGCAAGAAAAGCCAGACGAGGGGCAAGGATGATAAACCTTCGACCAGCAGCGGCAAGGGCCGGTGTTCCGAGCGGAACACAAAAGTCACGCCGACTGCTAGGAAGTACACGAAACCAACTCCAGACAGAATCTGAAGCGCTAGGAAACTCGATGCAAGCTCGCGTGCAACAGACTTTAGCAATGCTTGGATGGCATTCCAACTCTCAGCACCTAAGCTAAAGTCCATGTTGTGGTTCACAATTTGGCAGCACCAGCAGTCCAAAGTTTTGTCCAGGCCAAGTAAGAGATCCGTTTGAATGAACGCTGCCTGTAGCACGATTGCACTGGACACTCCATAGCTCACCAGATTGAGAGCCCCCATGGTGTAGACCCAATGCCTCGCTATTCCCTGCTTGGCACTGGTTCCTTCCTGATCGTCCATCCATACCTGGAGCGCTTGTGTTGCTGCGAATGTTGCTAAGCTCACAAGCCACGCAGCAGTGTACCTTCTCCACTCCCTGCAAGATGCAACGCGCCAACGCTTCTTAAAGTCTTCCATGAGAAGCTGCAGCCGTGCCACTGCAATCTCGAAGTGTGAGGACCGCCAGGCTTGATCCAACAAGGTTACTGATACAACGGCCAGAACTGTGTAGACACCCGTAGAAACCAGATTCAGCGCGTTGACATAGCCGGCACCGGCTAGCCAAGACATGCATACGAGCTGGAAAAGTGTGGGAACGCAAACAGCCAGGGTGAGGCAGCGTGGGTAAGCTGTCAAGAGTCTGCTGCTTAAGTCTTCTGCAGAATGATCCGAGCCCGTACTGAGGATCTGCGCTTGTGACTGTCTGTCCATGCTTTGCATGCTCCCATATCCTGGTCTTTCGAAGATCAGCTCGTGGGGTGAGCTCGGCTTCTGTATGGTGCTGTCTTGGGCTGTAGGCGTCGGCACGAGCGTCGGCACCACGCAAGTTGCTGGGCTTTCCTCTCCAACAGACTGCAGGCTTTTCCTCTGGGACCAAGTTTTTGAGAAGGACTGATACAAGGAGAAGGAATCTGTGAGTGCCTGCCGTGTGGCATTTTGCATTTCCTGCATGGATGGGGCAGGGCCAAGTGGCCCGAGCGGGAGTAGCGAGAAACTTTCCTCTGTCCCCAAGGTAGGAGCACTCCTGCGCCCTGGTTGAGGCGTCCAGGCTTCCGACCTCCTGCTGACTGTTTGCCTGCTTCCGATTGCTTGCAAGACTTCCAAATGCATCTTTCGGGACTCCATGTGCCCTTGCTCAATCTTTGTGAAGATTGCCTCCAAGGCTTCCTGCACATTTCGCCCCGAAGCTTCTGCCATGTTGGCCGCGGAAGCACGTTGCACAGCCATGATGGCCACCCTCCTACTCCCGCTCATACGGCACGTTGCGCTGTCCGCCTTGAGCCGTGGACAGAAGTCGCAATAGCAAGGTTCACAAACCGAGCTTCGTTGCAGTTCCGAAACCTTTCCTGACATAAAGGAGACATGCATGTCGCTGAAGCAGTCTTGATGGTCTCAGCTGGTGATCTCGCCTCACCATCTAAGTCAGACTTGAGGGTGCGCATTAAAAAACAATGCTCAACAACCCGCGGGCTCCGGTACGCGATGCTCTTCGAAGACATCCAGCCAAACCTGAGGCTTGGTCTATTGAAGGCACGCTCTTGCGCTGGACCCGGTGGGGACGTGCTGGTTGGATAGTTGGCCTAGTAAGGGCCTAGTAACAGTTGCACGCTTAAATCAACGACCTAGCAGCGACAGCAAGACGGGGTTGTTCCAGGCCAGTTGGCCCAACGGCCTCCTCGCAAATTGCGGTGTGCTACTCAGGTGATGTTCGGGAACCGGGATCTGGAACCAAACGATGCCGGCCTCAGCACCTCAAGCTCAAGTCACCTGCAAACAAAGCCAGAAAGCGCTTAACAGCTGGCCTTTCCTGACCTCAACGTGCTACTGCGACAGAAGGTTCGACTAACCTCTCGCGTGCCCGTTCGAGCTTTTACACATCCAAGCAGCCACAAGTTGTTGGCGCGGAACTTGTCGCACTAACGCCTGAGCCAGTCGGTCGGCTATTTCCCAAGTGGACTCCGAACATTTTTTTGGTTCAAGCAAGGCTACAAGCCGCTCAGGCGTGACTCAGGAGACGAATAGTCGTGGAATCACAGAGCTACAAGAAGGGCCAAGTCGGCCAAGCTCAGCAATGTCTGATTTCCAAGGACGGCACAAGGCCCCTTTGTAGGTCTCCCTGGGCCACAAAGTCAGGGTAGGGGGTTGGGTCTTGCCGCAGATCTGCTTCCAAGACGGTGCTGTCGAGAAGCCAAAGATAGTCCACGAAAATAGGGCCAATCCGAGAACATGGCCGACACCTGCCAAGAGAGAAACTGATGAAACTCGTTCCCTCCCTCTCCTGTATTCTGTGCAAAGAATGCCAGCAGGCATACACGTTTACGTGTATGCAGCATACATACATTGAGTTATTTGTGCATGTCTACACAGCACAGCAGCATGTCAGGTGCAAATTTTGCTTCTGTACTATACCGACTATACCGGTTTGCACAATTGAACCATGTCGACTGGATTCATGGATTCGGTTGAGTGAGACAGTAAGCTGACGAAGCAACGAATCAACTTGCCTTTGATCGGCAATCTTTCCGGAGGTCCTCGCAGAATTATCTCAATGCGCTGGCAAGGCGGTGGTACGGGCATGTTCTGAGCAGACTGAGCCGATGGCTAAGGTGCGATGCTCCTTAGTTGAGCATGCTGCACTGCAATCGAAGCTCACTGCTCCATATTATGTGCGCATGCTGGGCACTGGATCTTGTGGCCCAGACCTGTCTGTCTTCCTCATCTTCGCTGTCGGAAGTGAGGTGAGCAGGGCTTGCGGCGCTGGCATCTTGCTGTGACTCGGCCTGCTGCAGTGTTGCTTCGAGGCACACAAGCCCCTGGCAGCTCAGAAGTCTCATGGACTGCCTGCACCTTGTTGTCGCCTAGCTGCAAACGAAGCAGCCAAGCCCAAAACATTCGGCAATTCCCAGAACTCTGAGTGTGCGGCACTGGGCCGTGCGACGGAGGCTTTCCAAATCTGCCTTCCTAACACTTCGGCCTCTCGCTCGAATCGCAGTTCACAGCGACGAGACGCCGGTCTCCGGAGAATGCGCCTTCTGCTTTGACACGAGCTGCCAATCGCTGGAGAGAGGCGAAGGCCTCAGTTGAGCTGACATGCCGGCAGGGTGAATCTTGGGCTGGGTGAGAGTGTGTGGTTTCTGAGTTCATCGCCGGCCAAGACGACAGAACATCCATGTGGCGATGCAAATCCTGGCAGGTTTCTTACTCCGCTTTCTGTGCTTCAGGTGTTGTGTCTTCCTGGCTGTTCATACTCCATCACATGCTGCGGCTCCGGCCATTCAGCCAGTCTCTGACATGTGCTATCCCCCTAATTAACAACGTTCACCGCCCGCAGTTCCATGAAGCCTGCATGATATGACCTGCACACCCAGGGCCGTCCTTGGAAAGTTCAGCGCTCGCTGCCTTCGACAGGGGCTCCTCCAGATGCACGCAAGGGTCTGGGAGTGTCTGAAAGCTTGGTGGCGCCTGTACTGGAAGTTTCACACACGGGCAGCATCGGGCAGCGGAACTAGCGCACTAGGCAGGATCACTTGACACTTCCTGCAACTGCCGCGATACGCATTGTCGAGCGAGTGCTCCAAGTATTCCAAACAGCTCTCTCTTTGCGATCCTTGGCTCCCGCGGGGTCGTCTATGTCGTCTTCGTCGCTTAGATCACCTGCAAGGACACGCAACCTGTGACCACGACGCTAGAAACAGCCTGAGTGCAAAGTATTTAATTGGCTTGGACAGGCTGTCTGGCACATCACGTATCTGCGTGCTTTTGCCTCTTCACTATTTGTGCACATGAAGTAATTAGACTCGTCATAGACTCCAACATGCAAGGTCAAGACACAGACTTGCACATACTGGACAAGTTGGAGCCGCATCTGGCATAATGAGGACTTCGCCGGCACCATTTGCATCTCGCCTCGGCCACAGAAGCAAACGATCAACCTCAGAGCCTGGTCACATCAAGCCAAGCGTCATGAGGATCGGATCGCGGGCAGAGTTCGCTCGGTCCAAGGCTTGCCTCTACGCTACTCGGCGAGATCCAAGCGACTTCACCGGCAGTTCACAGGGCTCCAATGTGACCAGGAAGACTGAGCCTTGTCACATCCTGCGGCGCTTGCCTGCTTTAACATTGCACCACTGAGGACTCCTGACTTTGCGTACTTCACTTGCAAGAACATGGTGATTGGCCTGTTCTTGTGCACCTTTCGGACATCCTCTCCGAAGAGCAGGAAGGCTGCACGCAAAGCCTTCGGCCGTGCTGACCAGCGACGGCATATGGACAGCCGACACTAGCACTGCAGTACCAACCAGTAAAGGAGTGTGAGGGCCATGCGAACTCCACGATGCTGGCGCTGAAGACGGACTTCGACCCCGGGCCACTGAGTATGTGCTCCACCTTTGTCGCCAACTTTGATGCCGCGATGAGATCACGCTGCATCCTATCGTCCCCAGGTTGCTACCAGGTCTTGGAATGACTTTGCTATCTTCTGCTCAAATCGGAGTTCAGGTGAGTAGCGTGAGGGCCACAACTACAACTGCACTGCCACCACAGTGCGACCTAGCTGCCGTGTACATCAGATTCTGGTGAAGTGCCAGCCTGGCCACAGGCTCAAAAAGACGAACATGGAGTCGGCGCTCAGACGAAGCTCGAAGGCCTCGCTGAGGGTGAAGATGTTGTGACCTCGGCACGAGCCACCAAATGCAAGGCCGGAGCCAGCACACCGAAGCGGAGAAACTAATCACTGATGAAGCCTGCCTTGTGTGTGAACACTGGTATCGATGACAGCCTGACCCATCAGGCTGAACTTAACGATTGGACCGCCGCGCTCTCATGCACGCAAGTTTTCAGTCGGGCTCCGAACAGGTTCCGATTGCCAGCCGGGGCTGGGTCAACAGGTTGGCCGGTTGGTTAGCCCATGTTTTCAATCATCACAAGATGCGGAACTCGGCACCAGGCAGCTTCCTGTGTCCGATTGGCAAGAGTGAGGTTACCAGCAATGGGACCGTCCACATTTTCGCAACTGCTCTGCCCCGTCTCGATGCCCGAGACGTGGGGGTGGAGCTCCTCGAGCCCATCACAGGAACTTGCGTGATGTTGCGTGCTGGCACAAGCAGGACGCCCAACATTCGCCATTCCATCCAGGTGCTTATGGGTCCTCCTCCGCAGTCCGAGCAGTCAGGGGCATCTGAAGTCAGAAAGGTTCTTGAGTCCTCTGGACCCCGAAGAAGTCCATGCTTCCCTATTGTGGGGTTACATATGTGCGAAAAACTTAAACCCTACTATAGAGGCCTTAATAATAATTGCCTTCATATTAACCTATACTATTGTGGGGGCTCCTTATATAATTGTACTATTATAATGGGCCCCCAAGCCCTATTCTAAAGATTAAGGCCTCCACATTACCCCACTCCCGTAAGAAGGTGAGCACCGAGCCCAAGAGATGCTGGGAAACTCCCCAGCAGATCTCCGAGATCAAGACACTCGCACCCCTGAGCTGACCCATTTTGTGGGCCACCTGGTGTGCTTCGCAAACTTGGGAATGCTGGAGTGCTTGAGTGGCGTCAAGCTTCCCGAAGCAAAGTCCAAGATCGAAAAGGCTGCACTCGGTCAAGCTTCCTATGCACTATGGTAGCGACGACAACAAAGTCTCTAACAGCGACGACATCTGCCTCCCACCGGCGAAGGTATGTGAAAGCACTGCCGTCCGTTGCAAAACGCCACGGCACAACAACGCGAATTGTCGGTCGGCTGTGTTCACGTAGCGCTTGAGCTTTGCAGCGTTGGCTCAAGTTATGTCCAGCCCCCTGGTGCAACCTACAGTATGGTTGATGTCGCCTCATATGACACAGATGTCACGAGCAGGAGCCTCAACCGGTAAGATGTCCAGTCTGGCATGGTGTCGAGAAGGTCGTGACCTGGAAACTGAGAACAGTTTGCACGTTCAGGCCACCTGACACCTGTGCGGCCTTTACTTGCCAACTTGCGAGCAGGTGTGACCCTTCAACTTAGCGGCGCAGCGCAACGAAAGCCTCTGACTGCACCAAGGGGGCCTCGCGGAAGGTAGGGTACCAATGCCTGCCGGCTTCGTTTGCATCAATCTTGTGCCCATGGTGTCCCCTGCTACAACTGCGAAACATTGCCACAGTATTCCTACCATCCAGCGCAAGCGAAACTGCATGCCGCTCTACACAAGAGCTTATGGCACTGCTGTAGAGTAGAAGCTCTTCATGCCGAAAAGGTTCCAGCGTCGCAGGTTGGAAGGTGTATGAATAGCCCCTTTGCACGAGGACTGGCAGTGGGAACCAGCACCATCGCAGAAAAGCAGAAAAGTGTCTTGGACCGAAGTAAATCAATAAGCCACAGTAACGAAAGCAGTTTCAGTTTCGCGCACAAGATTACACGTCAAGCTTGCCGGCTGCCAGCTAACCCTTAACCAGGGGCCCTAGTGGTCAGCAGTCAAAGGCCGAAGCATGTGCTCCCGACTGGACAAAGGCGGTGTTCATTTCATGTTCAACATGTCTCAAACTTTTACATAAACCCCATCGGACCCACATCGCCGATCATACGCTGCAGGCGGCTTAAAGTCAAGTCTGCTACATCTACCCCACAGTATCACATCCATCGGCCTCATCGGCGCCACTGCCGCTGACCTCGGACAGTGAGTTTAACTGTCGTCCACAAACCGCTGGCACGGACATAGCCCTGAGTTCCTTACTGTAACGAAACCGTGCATTGCGTGGAAAGCAGCATATGGTGCTGCATGTGAACCTGGGCTCAACAAGCCAGCAGCGATTGAATGCAACGAGGCTAGCACTCAGTAATGCAAGGTTATGAGTGTCCAGCTTGACCCAAGTCAAACAGGAAGTAAACGAATCTTCACAGGCTTAGTAAATTGATGGGCTTGGCTGCTCGCATTCTTTAGAATGACATGAGCCCCTGAGTTTGGTACGTGCGGCGGCCCAGTCGCCGGCGATCTTCACGGTGTCACGAAACACACCTCTGTGACTCGCGGCTTAAGCATGCGCGTACAGCTAGGTGGGCCTTATGGCGGGCTCATACAGTAGCTCACCAACAGAATCGAAAATAAATCCAGGCGCTCTACCGCCGATGGTCGAAAGTCGAAACCAGTAAAATGCATGTATCGCTGAAGGCTGAAGGCGAGGACAAGTCACAGGCTTCATGCCTCGTCGGCGAGGCAAGGACTGTTGACCCAACCACGAGGCCGCACGTAGCCTTGTTAGCAATTGCCGGCTTCGGGCACATGAACCATCGACTTCACATAATCACACATGCAGCGGCATTTCATGTGCCCTTCAAAAGCACATCGCTCATGCGGAGGTCCTCTCCAAGCAATATCTGCGGTTCCAGCCGAGGCACGCAGCATTTTGAAAGAAGGCATAGCACCAGGCCTACATTGAGCGGGTGAACGACACGTCTTCGAGTGCCCAACCGAAGCGAAGGCACTTCCGCAGTCACCACAACTCGCTTACTGAATGTGCGGCTTCAGTGAATCCGCCACTATACTGTTCAGCTGAGTGGCGAATAGAAAACCAAGATGGCAAGCGAAGCACGCTGCAACCTCATGTGGATGAAACCAAGTGTCGAGCATGATAGCTTGGTGCGCCTGCTCGGCATGCCCTCGGACTCTATTGGAGCTGACTTTGCAGCTCTAATCGCCTTGAAGCTTCTTGGCTAAGCTGACGGCTACTGCCGTCCAATACAAGGGCAACCTGCCCGGCCAGAAAGTGCCCAGCCATGCACCAAGAAATCTAAAAGGAGTTAAGACTCGCCTGGACTCAGTCATTCCTGTAGCCTGCATGAGAATCAAGCCGCCCAAGGACGGCAACAGCGCGCACCAAAGCTGAAACCTGTCAACAAGGTCTGCATAGCTCCTGACTGGGTAGTGTTCCATGGCCTCCCTCTGTTCAGACTCTGACGAAGGAGAAGAGATCATCAATACTCAGGTGCAACATGCGACAGCTTGGAGCTTCGGGAGCCTTTCAATGCGGTTCAGCACACCATTTTGGCGGCTATCGAAAGGCCTCGCATGCGGACATCTAGACACAATCTGAGCCTGGTTCTGGTTGCAGCATCTACAGCTTCTATGCACTTTCTATGCCTTTGCGAAGACAATATGTGTCGGCCGCGCGTTGGAGGGCTTTGCACTGCCGCAGAATACCAAGGTCAGTGCAAGTACACCTCGTGCGAATAGAGCGACAAGATGCAGGTGACGACGAAGAGGAGGGTGCGAGCCCTGGGGGCCAATATTGGGCACCAGCTCGCGACAGGCTCTGGGCCCCAGACTCGGAGCCAACTGGGAGCACCTGCAAATGGAGACTTGCGGAGAGGGCGAGTCGTCCGGGCCCCGTGTCCACCCCAGACATTGCACATGACTGCCGTCCACGGTCTTGCAACAGCATGCTTTCTCTTTGTCACTCTTGGATGTTGAAGAACACGAGCCAATTGAAATTTTCAGGTTGTTGTTTTTGGAGGCGGCGCCTGTACGGGGCCGTGCGCTGGAGCACATTTTGTATTGGGGTGGGGGGGGGGGGTGGGGGGGTGGGGGGGGTGGGGTTTAATGACGTTCTGGTGCGACAACAACAACAACAAAGTACTACTAGTACTACTGCTGCGTTGTGCTTAGGCCCTGAACTTGCTCATGCCGAAAGCAGGAATCCAAGTAGGCAGTAGCTTCCAAGATCTCTTACGCTTGTAGTGCTCAGTTTTGTTAGAGTTTCAAGTTAAGTTTTAGGGTTCAGGGTTTTAGGTTTTTAGTGATAGCTTAGAGTTTCAAGTTAAGTTTTAGGGTTCAGGGTTTTAGGGTTTTAGTGATAGTTTTTTTCGGTTTGGTCATGCTTCGGCTTCTTTTTTAAATTACTTTAGCTTTCCTTGCTTTCCTTCAGCATGGTGATGCGATGGCTGTCACTCCTGCTCCTGATAGTTCTGGTTTTGCGAGAGTCCGCTTGTTTGCCATTCGCAGACTTGGCCGGGTTCCAGACATTTTCGGTGCAAGAGCTCAGAGACCACTTGTACATCTTGACGCTTGTGCATGAACCTGGAACAGCCGAGTGGGCAGCCTTGTGTGGAATGTTGATAGATTCGCGGCAAGGAGCACTGCCTTGGCTGCGGTTGTTGTCGCGGAAACACGATTTGGCCAGCCTTGTGTCATGTTTGCTACATTCCTCCCGACTATCGAGCAGTGCTTTCGATCTTGTGCGGGGAGTAATACCTCTGCTTGACCGTCGTTTCGGAAGCCTGGATTGTTGGGGTCCCTGCCCAACCGTGCAAGAGCTGGAACAACAGTTCGAGTTGCTGCTGGTTGAGGTACGCGCGTCAGTGCAGCGGACTGCGCCAACTCCTCGCGGCAGAAGCCGCACACCTCCTAGAACTCCTACAAGAAGAAGCTGTTCAGTGCAGCAGACTGCGCCAACACCTCGCGGCAGAAGCCGCACACCTCCTAGAACTCCTACTAGAAGAAGCTCTGGGACAAATGCGAGGATTGGTTCGGAACTAGCTGCTTCTCCAAGGTCGATGGTCGCCTGGGCAGAAATGGGGCCTCCGAGTCCAATGTCAGCGGAAGATTCACCCCGAACAATGCGCATGAAGAGTTTCTCCTACGAAACTTAAATAAAGGTTTAGATATGGTGTTCAAGCGTGAGGGAGTTAGTCAGTCTTTTTCGTTTTGTACATAGAGCAGCCAGGTTGGTGGGAGTCACAACGTCAAGCGGCTCGTCAATGTGCAGAAAGTTCCGGGCAAACATCTGCAAACATCCATTTGGTGGAAGCTTCGCAAGTTGCCCTGCCGCCTGCACTCAGCCCGCAGCTGCAAACTGTGCAGATCGACTTGGTGGAATCTTTGCGGCCTTGAAGTTACACTCACGACGTTGAAACCCAAAGCCGATATCCCTTGCCTCAAGTAGCTTCTAGAATGTTCTGGTAAACCCGAAACCCGCAACTCTGAGGATGACGAACCCTTCGTGGACATGGAATGTGGCCAGGTGTTGCACACGGCAGAACCCGCCTATATCTCCAGCCCTACGTGGACTCCGCACAGCTTGGCTCCCGCTGCAAAGGCCCAAGGATCCTTAAACCCATGAACCTTAAACCCTAAGCCTTAAAGCCTTATCCCTCAACCCTAAACCCCCGAAGCCTAGATATATTGTTTTTTCTCATAGAATTAGCCCCAAGGCATCCGCAAATGCTCGGGGCTTGCAGCTCCAGGAAGCAGAGGAGGCTCAGCAGGACTCCTGCTCGTTTTAGGCTTTCGGGTTTAGGGTTCAGGATCTACTTGGAGGCGCAGGGGACTTAGTAAGTCGGTTAGAAGTCGGGTTATAATTGGGGTAACTCCAATTAGACTACGTATAACTGGGTTAGACTTAAAACCTACTTACTAAGTCCACTGCCTTTCCAAGTAGGGTTTACGGTGTACGGTTTGCAGCAGGAGACTGGAAGAAGACCGAAATGGGGCAGATGCCCGAAGTGCCATTACTCGCTCGCTCCGCATATATTCCAGACGGGTGAGCCTTTCGACAAAAGACCACAGGTTTGGGCAACTGCATAGCTACACATGTTTTGTTCCGGGTCGTTTACAAAACATGTTACGGTTTCCTCTGAGGTTTGCGAACCACGTCCGTCTGCTCTGCAGCAGCTTTTGGCGAACAAACGCCAGGGGCGGTCGGCGTTGCTGGCACCACGAAGCCTTTCCTATGTCTAGATTGTCAGAGGCATCCCCATGGATCCGTGCTAATGCACAGGACATTCGTTTTGCTTTTGGACGTGGCAGACCATGACGAAGTTTTGACGACCTTGGACTGGCTGCGAACCAGTCGCCAGGGAGCAGAGACAGGTTGGTGCAGAAACAGAAAGAGGGCAATGCTCATGAGTAGAATGGGGATATTGTATATCACAAAGATGATGATGTCGTTGAGCATGACTCGTGCCTTCATTGCAGCAGACTACGTCTTCCGCTGTTGTTGGCACTTTTGTTCAAGGCAGCAAAGTCTAGCACGGTTGCTGTCCGCAGCGACATAGTGGGTCCGCTGAGATGGTTCAAGTGGAGCCCTGCCCCATGGATGTTTGGGCGGCTGCTGTCGCGACTCGTCGGCTGGGGCACGCGGAGCGTTGGGCCGATCTGTACGATGTGATCTTGAATATGTATGGCGTTTTCAGATTCGGTCCAGCAGCATGTTGCTCAGTTTTGATCTTCGCTGCAGATGTGCTCTCAACGTGCTTGCCGCTTCGCTATCCATTACAGGCTTGAGGTGTTAAGGTTAAGGCCTCAGGGTGCAAAGTTCAATTTTAAGCCTTAGGATACTTTGTTTAAGGTTGAGGGTGGCGGGCTTAAGGGACTGTTCTTTTCAGAATGCTCTGCCCCAGAAGGCACAGCCGCTTCGATGTAGATCTACTTGACCTGGCGGAAATGGAAAGGCACATCACGCGTGCTAACCTGATGCCGCCCGTAGCATCGCCACGACCTTTGAGTTTCGAGGACGGAGCTCGGCGCGCATGGCGTGAGATCTATGTAGAAGCTTTGCATGGTCTTGCACAGAAGCTCCCAGACTGCAAGGCATTGCTTGATCAATTTTGCGCAGAAGCGCATGGGCATCCGATCCTTAGTATCCTCTGGCCAGAAGTCCGGACTGTCTTGGAGGATTTTCATTTGTTCGTGGTGGGCTTGGCGCTGAGAGCACGTGCCAGTGACCCCCACACGCCTGCCTGTGTCGACTGAGATTCCCGAAACCAGAACGCAAGTCCGGCGGCTCGTGTAAAGAATCTTAGCTCCAGTGCAGGGACGCTGAGTGTGACCATGGCGCATTCTGTTTCCTAACAACATGGCGCATGATACAGACAGGTGATGACTCATTGCACATGTCAACATGACGCTGACAAAACGATGCTAGGGAGGATGAGAACAGGATGCTCAGCATGATGACGAGAAAATGATGCTCCGGATGATGATGACGATCATGATGATGATTCCTTTGGGCCTGTCTCCTACAGGGAGGGTTGATGGTGAGACAACCCGGAGGCAGGCTCAAAGAAATCCCAAGCTATGATGATGATGATGCTGACGATGATGACGATGATGCTGATGATGAGTGTGCTCATGGTGATGAAGAAGATCATCAAAGTAGTCTTGCACACCAGCATCAACATCCATCAACATCATCTTCAAAATCCTCGCATGCATCTACATCATCCTAAAATCCTAAAAATCATCATCCATCATCAACATCATCCTAAAAATCATCATCTACATTATCCAACAAAACATCATCAACATTAACATGGTACCCAAAACCATCCAAGACGCCAACTCCAGACTTAAAAGAGCCTGAAGCCATTAACCCCACTTATGCCGAGTCTAGCAGAGACTTTCTTTACAAGTGCTGTTTTCAACTTTGGGCAGTGCAGTCCTCGTCCGTCTTTGTTCCTTGTCCTTCCTTGAAAGCTTCCAAGTTCAGCTGCTGGACTTCCTATGTTGTACTTCTCAAGACTGCTGCGCAGTCTGCCAGGTAGCGAGGCCTTTGTCGCGAATGCATGAAGATTATAATTTTTCGTCAGGCTCTACCCTCTTTTGAGAATTTTCACAACATCAGCCTATAGCAGTGCGTCATTAGTGTGCAGCTGCTTCGGGCCTCCGGGGGTTTACGGGGACGTTGACATTTGCGGGGTGCAGATGTCAACCCAGCATTCTCTTGCTAGCCATGGTCTGCTCGTGTTGTGGAAGTTCTAAGCACAACTTGCGTGGCTGTCCGCTACCAGGGAGTAAACGTCTGCGGGAACTCGCTGACGAAAACCGACGACTGCGCAGGGCGGCTCCCAACCCACAGGAAGGACGTCGACCACGAAAGTTTGGTGTTAACCACTGGGGTACCTTGAGCAAGAAGAGCCAGCACCGCAAGCAAGCTTCTACTGCTTACTCTGGGAAGCAAGCTCAACAGCTGCGGAAGCAGAAGGACAGGGAACGTCGACTCAAGACCTCTCCAATGCCCAGCAACCCCGCATTGGAGATCGCTGCTGTGGAAGAGCTGCAAAAGCTCGGGTTCCTCAACAGTTGCCCTCGTCGATGCCCACATTGTCGTGGCACCTTGGGTCAGTGGTCTGTTAGAAATGGCGCAGAGGCCTGCAGTCCCTGAACACTAAACTTCCTTAAACCGAAAACCCTCAACCCTGAACCCTAAGCCCTAAACCCTTCATCCCAAGTCCCTCCCAAATCTCCCAAGCGCTCAAGCCTCAACGTGATGGTGCAGGTTTATGTCCGCTGCGTTGACAATGATTGCCGCAGACGTGTCAACTTGCTCACTTTGCAGTCCTGGTTGCCAACCTGTGTTCGACTGGGCCGAAAGACCAGTCCCTCCAAGCTCTTGATGCTCATCCGAAACTGGGTGGCCACTGGCTTGGGCCGTGCCCCCTCCGCCTACAACTTGGCGCGTGCAGCGGGAATGACCTTCAAGCCTGTCAAGGCGATTCTGCAGTGTCTCCAGGACCTGGAAAGTGAAGCAGGGCGTCGCCTCAATGACTCCCTCACTTTGCGTGGAACGGTCGAGGTCGACGCAACCTCTCTCAGATGTGTGCGTGTCTACAAGGGAACCAAGAGGTTTGCGACAACTGTGCGCACGTGGCTTGCGAAGCATCCGCACGGCCCAGTGCCGAAGTACTGGCTTCTCCACTACAGGCTCGTGGGCGCGGTGCAAAGAAGCGACAATCGCAAGCTCGTTGTTCGTCTCCTGGAACACAAAGTCGTCCCAGCTGCTGCGAAGCCTCCTCCGGAGGCACCTTTGCTGAACAACTGTAGTTCCGCCCACTACCCATGAATACCCTAGACTTATCGCTTTTCCCTGTTTTTTTTGATGTTTGGGTTTGGGTTCACTTGTTTGGAAAATACAAATATGCAGGCGACGGCTGAGATTCTCCAGTCGAAGCTTTTGGACAGTGTGCACAAGAACGCTACGCTGATGGCAGACGGAGCACGGTCTTGGACGGCTGCAGCCAAAACCACCGGACACCGTGGAGACACGAAACATGTCTGCCACTCCAAGGCTGAGTTCACCAAGGCTTCCTCCGACTCGCTAACTCTAGGTACTCAGCTGCTTGACAGGGTATGGGGTAACATCAAATGTTGTGTTCCGCCTTCCCTCGCCAGCCGCGCAAAGCACGGCTTGCCTGAACAGCAGATCCTGCAATATGTCTACCAAGCATTGTGGCGCCGACATATCGGCACTGCAAGTCTGCTGCAGCACTTGGGGGCTCTCGCAAAGGCTGCCTGAAAAGATCATCCAGCTCTGATATCCTTCTTCTTTGGGCCTCCCATTCACACAAGGTTAGGGTTTCAAGACTTAGGACTTCTGTGACTATCCCTGAAGCCTACACAATGCCCTAAAGCTCGTTTTCCAATAAAGTTCTGAAGAAATAACTCCAAGACTGAAAGGACTGAAATCCCCAGCCATGAAAACCCACAGCAAGCCTCCCAAAACTAAAGATGCTTACAGCGAAAAACGCGCTCCCGCTGTGGAGAAAGCACGATGTTGAAACCAAAAGTCTTCGCGGCGATCCCTGACAAATAGCAGTAGCTGCAAAAAAAGACTTTGAAAACCCAACATGCTCACAGTCCAAAACGCGCCCGCGCTGTGGCGAGAGCACGATTTTGCAGCAAAAAAAACACGAAACTTTGAATTTGTAAGACCCTGCGCAAAAAAAACCTTGAAAATGCACACAAACGCATGGGAAAATGGCATTTTCGCAAAAAGTTATCCTCAGCTTCTAGTGTTTTCGACACCTGCGAAAGCTCTTGATCTCAACAAAACGCGCGTTTCGCTCGAGTTTTGGCCTCGCCGCCGTCTGCCGCCAACAAAATAATGTCTCCCAACGCACGGCCCCGTACAGGCGCCGGCACCTTGTTTTTGTCATCGCCGTGGCAAGCAGTTTGAGAAGAAGTGGTGGCACAGATCACACTGCCTGCCTCTTTGGGCACAAAGCGTGGTTCTCCAGTTCGTTGACAACCCTCCTCTCTTCCGGACAGGGGGTTTTCAAACACAATTGCTGCATGTTGCCGTGCAGCCGCCTTTGTGTCGCGGATACTTGGACCACCCGACTCGCTTGCAACATGCACAGTGGACATTGAGTCTGTCATCGTTTACCACCACCACCTCTGCCACTGTCGTCGCCGCAGGCACTACAACTACTACCGTCACTGAACCACCAGCAGAAACAACATCAACTACACTGAAGATGCAGGAGCAACGTCACTGTCACTGATAGCAGAGCAGTGCCCAACCTCCAGGACCAGGAAAGCAAACTTGCGGATAAATATAGCACCTTCCCACCACCTCAGCAAGAACGCAGGCTCCGAGCCACCTTTCAGAAGCGTAGGCCTGAAGTTTGATTTGCTAGTGATTGGGAGCTGCGCCAGACTGTCCGCGAATAACCTCGGACGTTGTCCGCGTGAAACAGCATGAAACCCTCGTTGGGAAACTGGTGAGATGCCCGCCGTTGATTATCGTGGACCAGCGCTTCAAGACCTCAAATGCTCTGCAGGCAAAGTGGTGTGACACGTCAAACTGGGCTTCCCACGTGCGGATCAGAAAGACGGGGAACATCGCGCCGGAGTCCTCGCCTCAAGACAACTAATTACAGTTTGGTCTCGGGTCCAGGGGAGGCCGCAGCCACTTCCATGTCGTATGTGATTCTTTTAGGCTAAACGGCTAACCCCCGCCGCAACGATTGTGCTTCATCGACACAGTCGCGACATGTCAAGGCTCCGACATGATGACCTCAGCTGGTGCGAACTCCGAGGCTACGAGTTCTCGAAAGTACTTTGCCTGGGGCCATGGCGGAGGGATACACGACTCCCCAGAAGAAGGCCAGCCTATGATGGGGTGTCAATTCGATTTGAACGGGCAAAGGTGAGGAGTGATCTGCTAGGATAACATGCCGGGACAGTCGCAGTACAAGAAGTGAAACAACACTGTGAGAAGTGCATCCGAGCAGCACTAACGAAATTATCAGCAATGGATCTTCAGGACCTGAGTGACACGGCGCTGCCAATATCAGGTCAAGAAGCATGTCAACATAATTCAACGTGGCCAACGCCTGGTGGCGTTATCGAAGCTTGCTCTGCACATGCAGTTTTGCTCCTCACTGAAACGCTGCGCTGTGTTTGCAGACTGATGGCGGAAACGACAGAGAATGCGGCGGGCTACCTGCTTCGCAGGTCTTTCTCCGTCACAATGCCAGAACGTGGCCGTAGCTACTGTTACGTGAGCTGCTGGTCAGCTCCTAAACTAAAGACATCGAAGGGCCCCCAAGGGCCGGCCGCTCACTTTGAGCCGCCACATCTCACAAGAGTCTGAGCATTCGCAAAGCCCGCCAAGGCCAACCTGCCAGGCTGCAGGCTGGCTTCTCCCTGTCGGCATCTTCAAACTGCCAAGCTTCTTCCGCCTCGGCTCAGTGCTGTTCCTGTCCAGGGGCTGCTCTCAGCACCTGGGAGTGCAGCAGGAGCCGGTGCATCAAAGATAGACCCAGGCCCCCCACAAGTTCCCTTCTCCTAAGCAAGCTCGTCTTCGCTGCTCGACTCCAGATCTAACGTGTACGACGACGCGTGCCACGAGCCTGACCCCTTGGCCAAGTGAGTTTCGATCCGCTCACGCATGCAGACGGGACACCAGTGCTGGAACAGGCAGAAGGGCACTCCTGGGACTACAGTGGCATCCAAAACAAGTGGGCATCAAGATCTCAAATGCCAGTCTATGTTATGAAGGTGATCTCCGTCATTTCAAAACCCGAGGTTCTGCATTCAGCTGTTTGTTTCATGCCTACGTCTTGACCCGGGGGGCTTTGCTAGGCTTCAGCTTGACCGCCTGAACCCTTGTCATTTAAGCCGCCGCAAGTCACGCCTTAGGCGATGTCGCTCCTTCTGCTCAAGCGACACCGGAGCTTTGATGACCAGCGGTGCTCTGTCGGTGAATTGGGAAGTTCCAAGTGGTCCTTCGCAACAGTGTAACAGCGTTGGCCGGATTGAAAACCGTGACCCGGAAGTTCTATGCGTCTGATTTCGTAACGACTCGTGACTACGTCCCAATGCCGTCTACTCTAACCGCTGCTTCTTTAGCTTCGGCCCGGTAGTTGTAAAGCCGGCGCATGTTTTCCGAACATCCACGCATTCGAAGTTAAGTACTGTGAGCTTCATCGGTCAGGATGCTTCTTTTTGATCAGTCGTTCGGAACGGGATCTGAAGTTCTACAGCCGCACTCAATCAAGACTTCTACCTGTTCTACCTTCCCACCTTCCAGCCTCCCAAAGCAAGACGTGAAAGCAACCCTAAATAAAGCAACGCCATGGCACACGTGGAAAAACATCCGTCCTATATTCCGCCCGGTTATTTTGTATTCCACATAGTTGGCCATATGGAGCAAGAAGCTGATCACCTCATTGCGATGATGCCGCACCGGCAGTCGGACCCATGAGGCAGGCACACCCTGGTATTCCAACAAGAGCACGGACGAACAGACTAATCTCACGACAGAACATCAAGAAACTTCAGGGACTGTTCCAAACTTGGCAGCTTAGTGCAGCCTGGCGACTGAGTGAACTCCATTGCCCTCAAACCTCAGGTCAATCTGATGTGTGAGATAGTGCTGGAGGCCAGCACGGCGAAACCCAAGTGTCTTGCACTTCTGCCGAGGGGCTGGAACCAAGTGTGCCCATCTTAGCTGACATCTTTCTTCATCCGATCTCTTGCAAGGATCCCGTCTGGCATCTAGCCCGGTGATTTCTATGCGGGTTCAAGCCGATAATAAAGGTACACAAGCTTTTGGCCTGCCTACTCCGACAGGAAAGAATGTGAATCCCTGATGCCGATCTTGCCAACACAAACTCTCCACCGAGCATTTCACATACCATCAAACCTGACGGTGCTCTTTGGTATGGCAGTACTTCTCGGGCTTGCTCGGTTTCATTCGTGCGTGAACGTTGCTGATTGACTGCCTGGCGTCTGGGTGCGCCTTGCTCACTGGACTTTGGATGTTTGCACTTGACACTCGCATGGCGAGGACGCTGCCCGCGCTGCAAGGTCGGATAGACGGAAAGTGGCTGCATCCATCGTAGTTAAGGTGTTACGATCTTCAAAAGAGGAAGAGAATCAGGCGTGAGCTCTACATATTATGGTCGATTTACGATCATTTCGGTGCACAATTAGTTTCCGCACGGGAGAGGATGCTGGGATCTGACTTTTAATCAGCGTTGGTCTGCTGCTAGCCCGTACAGTGCAAGGAGTCGACTTCAAGTAAGAGGATCAGAGGAAGCTTTCGGGCCAGTGCGCCCGTTTTTGACAACTCTTCCGAGACTTGGTGGGGTCTTGCATGCCTCCGTGCCAAGGTGCCAATGTCACCAAGCAGCAGCGTGTGCAGGACCTCACCTTGTGGGATGCCATACTGCTGGGCATCGCTCCTCACGCAGGTGTTCGCTGCGCAGAACGCTTCGAGTGCTGATGCTCATGGCTGGTCCTGCAGTGCATTGCAGTGCCATCCAGACAGAAAACTAAAGACCCCTGGCCCTGGTCCAAAGCAAAGCAGCCTGAAGCCTGGCGAGCCGGCACTCCTATGAGAGGACTGCCGCTTGTAAGCCCCGGGAAACGACCTCGATCGGACTGGGGTTTTTGCATGTTTTAAACAGAAGGGATGGACAACAACAACGCAAGCAAGGCAGGCACGTGCAGGCTGGAAGCTGGAGCAACTGGTAGGCTGTAAAGTTTTCGCCGCCCGGCGTGCTGAGGACATCTCGTTGGAGCAGAATGTGGGCTCCACTGAAAATCCTGCGTGGCTTCGAGAAGCAGGCGGCATTATCAAAGCCAAACACGGCTTGCGCCCATCCGCCCATACTGCTCGTATGATTGGGGCAAGCATCTGACGCATGGTTTCCCGATCTCGTCTCGCAATTTGCATGTAGACGAAGCCCATCAGCACCTCAGGTACTTTCACGAAAGTCGACTGTGCCACCACTTGTCCGACCTGTGCCACCAACTGGGCTGCTAGGCTAAGATAACTGTGGCTGTCCGAACCTTCTCCGCCAGCGGGGGATTCAAGTCAAACTTGCGCAGGTCACTCTCCGGAAGCTCCTGTTCCGAGGCAAGTTCAGGTCAGAGCTTACAGGTCACAGCTTGCGGCAGGCGGGTCCATGAGGCAAGTCGCGGCCGCCGTGTGGTGGCAGTATGCAGACCTCTCGAGCATGTCCAGCATCGGGTCCAGGAGCCGACCGCGAGCGTGGATGCTGCTGCCTGCCGCACGCATCCGCACGCTGTAAAGACAGGCTGCCCACCCCCCCTTGGCTGACTTCTGCTGCCACGGCGCCGACCAACGCGCCGAAGGCCAGCATCACGCAAAGCACTGAGACACACGCCACACATCTGCACGACACGTATTGGCAGCGCCGAGGTTCCTTGCTGCTGTTGCAACAGAGGAAGTACCGGCACGTGCAGAGGGAGCTGCGAGTCAATCTGAGACTTGGCAATCGCGTCACGTGGCTTCCGCACAAGCTCTGCTCTACAACGTTCAGGCTTCAACACGATCTTCGTAACACGCCTTCACAGCGGGACAACTCTCGCTAGTGAGGCATTGTCCGTGCTTTGGCAAGCTGGCACTCTGTCAAGCGATGTCCAGGATGCATTGTTGCAAGCAAGGCACCGACATTGAAAAAGTGGTCCTCGTCTCACCCCCTTCAGTCAAAGAGGACACCTCTTCGTCCATCGGTGACGGAGAGCCCAGCGTACGGGCTGTTATCCGCCACACTGCGCTGTCCTCTTCGACCTGGCTCACGTCGTTTCAGGTACGAGTAACGTGTTGCAACCACTATGGTGGAGTGGCTGAAGTGGTGCCACAGATGCTTGCCTGCAAATAGGATCACTGTAAGGCTTCCACTGGAGGCGCGCCCCAGCCAGTCCAGTACCGCCAAAGCTTGAACTGGAAGGCTGCTGCCAAACACATCCGAACGATATCGGCAGAGTCACCTAAAACGCGCTCGACAACAAGCGCGTTTGCCAAATGACAGGTTGATCGTGATCTGTTCAGCTGCTTGCCAAATGTTGGCTCCATCATCTTAATGAAGGGAGGACTACATGTACGGGTATATAAATTATATACACCCACCCCTTAGTGAGTGGTCAGCGGCCAGCGAGCCGCACCAAGGCAGTGGCGGCAGCCTACGGATCCCTGCCGCATAAGCACAGAGATGCCGCCAGCTCGGCTGCCCAAGTTCACCTAGAAGCACTTTGAAAGCTCACGCAGCTCTGACAGGAAGTGTCGATGAGCTTGGGCCCCAACACATGTCAAGGCACGCAGGTTTCGTCTGGCTACTGCAAAGTGCATCAGCTGAAAGACCTTCGTCGAGCGCACCCTCAACAGCGAAAACAGGTGATGAAGGTCTGCTAAGCAGCCCACTGCCGCCCGCGCCTGAGACACTGTTCAAACCACCGGGCGTTCGTTATCTGCACAGCTGCAAATTGTGTCTGCTCGAGGCACTGACTGGCAGGTGATCTCGCCAGAAATGTGCGAACGATGGGAGACGGAGCAAGCTGCTAGCTCCCCTGACTACATCGCAATTTCGCAAGCAAATCGGAAGGACACGAGCACGATCATTGCAGGCCTGTGTGTTGAGGAGAAGGATGCAATGTACTGCACGGGCCAGAAGAGTCCCAACCTGAACCCGCACAGTACCACGTCCCCTGCATGTGGAACAAGCAGGTCGAGGAAGCAGCAGTCTCTTCTGGTAGACATCCATGAAGATCTGTCCTTGTGCCTGACAGTCTTGATGAAGATTATGAGGAAGCAGACGCTGGCTTCTGACGTTTGTGGCATGCGCGATAGTTGACAGTTGCCGCTCCTGCTGCTGGACCTCTGCCCTAAAGGCTTGCAGGAAAGCCTTCTACCTCTGCTCCCACTCCAGCAGAGGATCCAACATAACTCATGGGAATGAGCCGCTAGGCGGGTCGTCGTCAGCTCTTCGCAGGTCACGTAATCAGCCAACCTCGTCCCAAAAAGCTGCGACGCGGCCACCGAAGCAACACACCTGTGCGATTGTATGCAGTGGTCACGAGCCGGGGAACGAGAGGGAGAGAGAGAGCAAGTGGGGGAGGGATGGGAGGAGAGCGGGAGGGAGAGTGAGAGGAGGGGGAGGGGAGGGAGGGAGGGAGCAAAAACAACAGGGAGTTGGAGAGAGGTGCGCCGAGGAATCTAGTGAAGCGTGCATGGTGTGAAGTCCCTTCTCCCAGCTGCCTGGCTGTAAAAGTCAGCGGCATCTACCCAAATGTCCAAGCGCGACCTGCATGCGGCGGTACATGAACCAACTCCAGCCAAACGCTATGCTAAATCGGATCAAAGGTCAGTTTCCTCTTACTCCTGTGTTCGCATCAACATGTGCATCATATAGAGCACTGTCAACATCTTCTCATGAATGTTTGCACACCTCATGTAGCGGTCAAGGAGGCCGTAGCAGAGAATGCCGGAAAAAAGCACCACCTGCACGCGCTGGTGACGGCTTATGGTGATAGCTAGTCTTACTTGACGTGCAAAACTACAGCAGGATCTGCCATTGCTGTCAGCATGCCGACTGGGTGACATGTGAAATGAACCGCAGCAGACTAACTCGGTTCCGGGGCGGCCACGAGGAATGGCAGCAAATTCCTCAGAGCAAAAAGCTTGTCAGAGAGCTGTCAACGGCAGTAGAAAAGCTTCATAGAACTTTCCGCACGATGGCCAGGTCATACGAAACACTCGCTTGCGCTTCTACGAGGCATGCTGTCGTGTACTTGTGCACTGAGGACGGCTCCAAGTCAGAACGACGAAAGTCTCGTTCAAGCGCTGGTAATTCCCAAGCGCATCTGTGGAAGCAGTTCTGGAAGCGCTCTAAGAGCTGTTGTGTTTCTCGTTTTCGGGTCGCTCAGCAGCTGTTGCCTTGTGCAGGTCTGAGTTCCTCCAGGTCGAAGTCATGATGCCGGGCGGCCGCCATCCTTGCAGCGCCAGACCGAATCTCACAGGATGCTTTCGTCCAGAATGCGAGGCCCAGGCCGGTTCATCCTGGGACACTCATTTAGGCGCAGAGGGGACTGTCAAACGCGCGGTGCGAGCAACTTGGCTGAGGGCATGCTTCGCTCTTCAGCTCCCAAGTATGGCTGCCTGAGTCAACTGGGGCAGCTCTGATTTCGCACAGGCCCTTTGGCACACCCCTCATGCCGAGGTTCATTAAGCAGGATAAAGAAAACCAGCTTGCTTCGCCTTCCGGAGCCTGGAAAAGTGACGAAGCAGCTGTAACCCGCAGCGAGACTCACGGGCCGGGCATGCTGCAATGAGGAGATGGCTCCATCCGTAGCCAGCAAGATCTCCAAAATGAGCTTGATGGCGATGTGATCCCTCAACCTCGGCTTCCAAATGCCGCACGCACTTCATTGCCCGCTTCCACTATGCTATGCTGACCATGCCCACCATCGAAACCGACGCTAAGGCTTGCACAGGCCTGCCTTGCACCAGGACCATCATGCGCAGATGCTCTCCATGCTCTCTTGCGACACCCACACCGGCACCGGAGCTTCGCCTGGGTGATGTAGCGCTGGATCTGCGCGCCGAGCACAGCCCTAAGCGCATCAGAAACACAATCACTCTAGACTCCAGCCAGACCCTATACAAGTAGTCTCTCTAGCTCAGCTCTGCAGTTGCTGCCATGCTGCATGGCGATACAATGGTTTAGCAAGATCTTGAAGAGAATCAAATGACAGTCCTGCCAGCACCAAAAACAAGTTGGCCGTGACGAGGAGGCAAATTGTTTGGAGCGCCTTCTTGCTGGTCAGATCTACAGTGGCCATGAGCAGCTGGATGACGACCACATAGCCCAAAAAATACATCCTGGGGCAAACGAGCCAGGAACAAAGCAATCTGCCATCGCCTGGCCCACATGTTCTTGCCAACTCAGTGCCAAACCCAGCAAAGATGACCCCATCTGAGTTTGCGATCACTTGTGCCACTCTTCACACGGGCATCATGCCACTTGACTCTCAGACTCTCAGGCCGTTTCAAGAAACAGCTTTGAGGGGCCACTACTTTTTTAAACTGCACGAATAGCAACTCCGGAACGACTGCAGGTGCTGGCACCGCATCAGCTTGTACAACGTCTTCATTCAAACTTCATCGCACTGCTAGCTGTGCACCTCTCTTGCAAGTCCAACTGAGGCCAATGACACAGTCGATCCGGACATCGGCTGCAGGTTCCACTGCTGATGAAGCCAGGCAGGCAAGAGTAGCCTTCACGGTAGCCACAAGCACACCCAGCGCACACGAAGCTGGCCTACTCAAGCTTGAGTGGAAGTCACACGGGCCGTGCGCTGACTGAAGACTGTTCATGCATAATCTTGCTGCTTTTCCTGCGCAAAACACGCTCTGGGAGCTGCACAATGGCGACCTGCATGTCCTCCTGCGCATACCTCGTTCTTCAAACACGCCTCAGGTCCATAGCAAAAGGATTCCCGATCAGCTTGGCGCATGCACCACCTCCCCCCCCCCCAAACCTACAGGTGGAGTTGCCTCCGGCATGGCATCGCACCGCTCAATGTCTGCCAAAGGCTCACTTCCCTCGACCTGGGCTTCTTGTGTGTCCTGGTTGGAAATCTGTGAACTATTGCCGCAGCTTGTCATGTCATGTGCAGGCCGCAGTCTCCAAACGGTCAAATATCTATGGACGCCGCACTGATGTAGCGCACCAGGAAGTAGCCTTTTGCATTGGAAGGCGTGGAGGTTCCAGGCCTCGTGAATTTCACTCCCTCAGGGTCCAGGTCCAGGTCATATGCCGGCATTGAGGCTCAGGCACTGCACTTGAAGAGCCGTCATGATCCTGCAGAGCTTGCCCCTTACTATCTTCAACTTGCTCCATGGCTATGTGCCACAAACCGGCGTTCATGTCCATACTCACTGCTCTGCGTGCGCCGCATGACATGTAGATACACCTTCGCACGACAGTCAGTTGCGCAAGTTGGATTCAATACCATGCCGTCGTCATAAAGAAAAGTTTCTCGATGAAGGAGAGCATTGTCTTACACTCTGGCGCCGACTCTCGATGCTGGCCTTTACTAACCACTACTGTTGCGACTGTGACGTGCCTTGATGCAGCTGGACTGGCCAAAAGCTGGCTGGTACTGGCCGAGGGCACACCTGTCCAACATAGTAATAGTAGAAATAGCAGTGACAACACAGAATATGCTGTCAGTCCCTCTCTCTTTTGACCGCCTGTCTGGACACAAGCCCCGGACCTCTCACATCGGGTCGCGTCCAGGAGGCTCATGGTGCCCGGCTCACAGACATCACAGGCCTAGAGTAGTGCTTCTGTGGGGGAAAGCAAGTGTTCTGGCATGCTTGCTGCTCAGCAGCACTTGCCCCGGAGGTGTTGGCAACAGCTCCACTCGGGCACTTTTGGCACCTCTGCACTTCCAGTCCAAACAGGACAAGCAGGGGCGAAAGGGCCGAGTTAACTGGAGATGAGCACTCGGATGTTCCGGACGTCGCTGAGAAGCGGCCTGGAACTGCCGGATGTGCAGAATTTCTCAGCGACTCGCATGAAGATGTTTTGAACTTTGAACATCTTTGAACCGTTGAATCTTTGCTGATCAGATATGGGAACGCCTGTTGGACACGTACGGCAGCTGGAGTAACCTGCTGCACTTGTGAAAGAACCTGGGAGGATATCAATCACAGAAGCACCAGGCCGGAGTACAAGCGGCTCATCACCCCCAAGGTGTCTGCCGGGTCCGCACAACTCACACTGGCGCCTCGGTCAAAGTACGTGAGCCCACAACCTGCATACCCTCTTGAACAACCAGTGGACACGAGGGACCAAGGAAAGCACAGTCCTTCAGCAGGCCCATAGGTGCCCGGAGAACACTTCCGGCACTTGGAGGTGCCCCTGCAGCGCGGCCCCGCGATACGACAGGGGGTCACCGCATGTTGCGTGGAACTGTGGCACGCGCGCACACGCACGCACGCACCCACCCACAGACACAGACGCTCAGACGCTCAGACACTCAGACACACTCACACACACACACACTCACACGCACACACACACGTATGTGTGCAGGGGCCTTGAACAAATCTGAGGCTGGAACTGCTGGCTGGAGTGCCCGAGAGGGCACGAGCGGCACGTGTGGGAAGGCATGTCCTCGCAGCTCAACACTCCTCCGTCCATACCCTGACTCGCGGAGCTGGGGATGCGAAATTACCAACTGCGGGTATTGCTGGATCGCCGGGGACCTAGATACCCAACTGGACCCAACTGGCGGACCTGAAGCAAACGCGATCGCGGAACCCCGAGAAGACGACAAGGCTGTAAGTGACAGAACGATGTGATCCACAAATAATCAGAAATCGCCGCCTGTGTTTTGGAAATTGTTGTTTTTGCATCTACATTGACGGTTCCCTATCTCGAACGACTCGTTCAACCTTGGACTGGGCCTCGGAGCGGAAGGTGCCGTTAGGGCAGGGATCGCAAATGTTGCTGTTGTCAAAGAAGCCTGAGGCAACGCAGCAGCATTTTAATTTTGCTTTACTTTTGCTTTGTAGCTCCATGCCAGCCCGAGCCCGAACCCTCAGGCCACGGCCAGGTGAGCAGGTCAACAGGCAGAAGCCTGCTGGTGAGGGTCAGCGGGTGTATGACATTGTGGGTGTCGTCGCTTGGGTTTTCGTGAAGGGTTTAAGTTTAAAACCGATGTACAGTGCCAGCATCTCACCGGGCCTTCCACAGCATTCAGAGCCATGAACACCTTGCCTCGGCCCAGCACGACAGCGAAGCTGCGTGACAGTGCATTCTAAAGCTTCTCAATGCAACCTTGCCATAATCTGATGCCGGCACCAGCTTTTGATACGCCGAGCTGCCGAAGAATGCATCTTACAGTGTGACGCCTTGTAGGTGCCGACACGTATCGACCAAGGGGACGGCCAGCTGGACAATCCCGACACTGTCTCCGCTGCAGGTCCGTCCTCCATCGTGCCGGCCCCCTCTCCCCAGAATTCTACTCGGAAGGGCGGGGCAGTCGCTCCTGAAAGCTGATACCTGGCCATCCGGGCACTGGCCGCATTCCGCCCCACTGAAGCCCCAGCCTCAGGGCAGAAGCATGGAATGGAGCCGGCTTGGAGCTGTTCGAGTCTGGCACGGCAAAGCTCGCTGGAGGCTGCAGGCACGTGATACGAAGCAGCCAGTTTTTTTTGCATTGTGGTGGTTCTGTGTCTGTGTGGTTGTATATGGTTGCATGCCGCAGCTGTTGCTTGCAGGCGTGATCACACTCAATTGCGTACCCAGACGCGAGAACTGGCGGGCGCTGGCGAGGTACAGTTTCTTTCCTGCACATCTCTGCCACATGTCTCAATGGAACTGGACACCAAGTACTATATTATAAGTATTGCAACCGACATAAACTGGAAGAGCCAAATCAAGCCCTGCCTGCCAACCGGGTGCGGGAAACACCAGCGACCGCTCCTGCAGCAGAAATCTTAAGAAGACCGTCACGCTGTGCAAACCCACTGCACGATACGTAAGTCTCCATCCCGACACAGTGCTTGATGTAACGGCTGCGAAACGACAGAGGACATCCCATGTCCTGTACAGTTTCGGGGAAGACCACGATAGGCTCAGTCGAGTCAGCAAGCGCTTGGACCTGGACTTCCACAAGTGCAGACACATCAGATCTAACTGTTACTAACTTCACGCTCAATATACCTGGGCCCTGGCCACATGGCAGGTGTTCGGCAGATCGGTAAAGTTGACGTAGCCAGCCACAGTTTCCTATGATGTATGCAGTATGCACTGACGATGCAATGCAGGCCGTCGCTTGATTCGCACCTTGAGACTTCCGGGGTCCAACCACAAAGTTATGCACGGAGTTGTCGGGTGTAGTGCTGTGTCGGGGACATTCACAAACCACAATGTAAGTGTAAGGGGCAGCAAGGCCAGAGCCTCCAGCCAACCTAGTGCAGCTACCGTCAGGGGCCGAACAACCTCTGAACATGCGACCAAGGTGCCGCTGAAAGGGGCTCCAAAGCAGCCCAAACTGAGAAGCAGTTTGCAGATGCCCTCACAAATAAGATGTATGTGCCACGCATTTCCACCCCAGCCCCATCCCGCCATCGGTATCTGGACCCTGCAGAGAGAGAGCCAGTAGCTCCAGCACAGCCAGAGCCTTGCCAGACAGCTTTATCATTGGGCCCAAGATCATGTGTGGCAAGCATCCGCAGGCGTCCTGCCTCAAAGGCCGCCAATCCCGGCAGGTCCTCGGCAAGCCAAAGACGGGGCCCCAGCCCCAGAAGCTCGCGGAAGCTTTGACCCATGGATCACTGTCAGGCCGCCTACTTACTTCTTGCCGCAAACTGGTGCGATAGCTATTACGGGAGGCTCGGAGCTGCGCAAAGCACTTTGAGAGTTGAGCTCCGTTTTGGCCGGCCATCCCACGCAGGATGTACTTGACCCGGTTCCATCACTTTGCTCGCCACTACTTCTGTACACGTCGCGCCAAGTGAGGTCTACTAAAAATCCGGCGGTTAAGCTCTCTCTCTCTCGAGGCGTCCCTTTGTGCACAAGTCTGCTCAGATGTCCCTGGGGATGAAGTCACCGACTGAAGACTGGAACTCGGCTGTCGTCAAGTTGGGGAGCAGCGAGGGGCCCTCACCGGTGGAGGCATTTCGGAGGACCATGAAGAAGAAGCCCACCATGGCCAAACGGCAGTGCTTGATCTCTCGGAGCTTCATGTTGTTCCACTCCTGCCACCGAATTCAAGACTTCGCAAAGCAGGTTTAAGCCCATCTCCCCGACCATTCGAGCGGTGCAGCTGCAAGGCGCCTCTGGCTGATACGCCGCAGTGAAGGTGGGCCCGAACCTCAGTCTTCTCTGTGCTTTGCCTGCTCCGCTGGCTCTGCGGATTGCGCTGGCTGGGAGGAAAGATCCGCTGAGCTGCGGACCACTTGGGGCGTGGGCTGCTCACCGGTGCCGTCGGATTCCAGCCAAGATCTCCAGGCTGGACGCCCTGAGAATACTTGCTGATGACCTGCGTGCGCAAGTGCATCTTCCGGCATCAGGGTCGCGACACGCAGCTGAGGCTTGGACATTCTCGTAGCGCCAAAGCTCCGACAGGGCAATCACGACAATGATCTGAAGCCAGCCGACGATGGGCACCTCAGCCACGCTCTAACCGACTCCAACCTCAAATCCCTGCAACAGCACCATCCTCAAAACCTCGGGCCGCACCTGCGTGGCCGCCTTCAGTGGGTCCGCGGAGTCCGTCGGGTATCGGGTGATGAAGGGCTCGAACTTGGCACCGGAAGTCTGCACCTTAGGCGGGATCAAGCATGAGTCATGAGGCACGCACTCAACTTAAGGCAGCTAAGGTGCGGTGTAGCCCAGCACTGCCAGCATGCACACGCGCCCGTGAGCAAGCTCCGCCTCACGGTACCAAGGCAGCAGGCGCTGGTTCTTGGCAAAGCCTGCAGGGTCGAAGCCCACATCGCCCACGTAGGTGCTGTTGAAGATGTCGTTGCTGAGGCCCTCTGGGATGGGATCCCAAGGGATAGCCGTGGACTTGCCGGCGCCGGAGCCGAACTCAGCTCGCAGAGCCAAGCGATCAGAAGCATCACGCTGAGCATAGCCACCCACGAAGGGGTTCAGGTTTCCGGTGGTAAACTGCTCGACCAGGGACTGGCCTGTGGCACCATTCTGTGCCACAATGGCAGCCATCGCAACCATAGCCAGGCGGCCGTTGTTGATCTCGGCAAGCAGCTTCTTCTGCTTCTCCTCTGGCTCAAGAGTGTTAATCCGTCCCCAGAAGGGAGGATAGCCATAGTTCTCAGGGAAGGCCTGGTTCTTGGCCTCGATGGCTCCGGCGAGAGCAAAGATCTGCAACCAGCCGAAGGTCGGAACCTTGTAGATGGCCTCAATCGTGCAAGGAATGTCGGAGAACTTCAGGCCCATGCTGGGTGATAAGTCGCCACCGAAGCGGCCGAAGAGGTCAGGCACGATCATCCCGATGGTGGCAACCATGCAGATCCGTCCGTGTTTCAGCTCCAGCTCGCGATTCCGGCGGAATTTCTCCTCATCCTGGAAGGCCATCATGCCGAATGGGTCCCAGTAGCCAAGAGGAGGGCACGCACCAAGTTCCTGCGAAGGGTCAAAGGCGAAGAAGCCCTGACCGTCGTTGAAGGGCGAAATGTGCCCGGCAGTGAGCTGCTCGATCGGAGACTGTCCAGTGAGGCCGTTCTGAATCAGCATGCCAGACATCGCGACCATTGCCAGCCTTCCGTTGTTCAGCTCTGTGGTCAACTTCAGCCGGCGCTCGGCCGGATCCTGGATCTTCCTGCCCCAGTATCCGGTCCCGAAGTTGCCGGGCTCCTGACAGTTGCAACGGGCAGGATTTAGGATACACAGGGCTCGTAGGCTTTGGACTTACGGGTGGGCAGGCTTCACTGGCTCCTGACCATACTTGGCGAAACCGAAGCCACCGAAGGACTGGTCCTTGAAGAGCTGCGTCTCAATAAGTCCTGCCACGAGCAAGATCTGCAGCCAGCCCTCCAGAGGGACCTTGCTCACAGCGGCAATTCCTGACGGGACGTCTGCGAACTTCAAGTTCTGCGATGGCGACAAGTAACCATCGAACTTGCCGAAGATGTCCGGCCAAACCATGCCAATGGTGGCGACCATGCACAACCTCCCGTGCTTCAGCTCCACTGCTCGGCGGCGGTCGAAGTCCTCCTTCGTGCAGCCGTCCTGGCAGTAGCCGATGGGGTCCCAGAACAGCAGCGGGTCGCAGGCACCAATCTCCCCAGAGGCATCGTAGGCGCAGCGCGCGACGCCACTGCGCACGGCCGGCGGAGCCGGGCGCACTAAGGACGCAATCAAGCCCATGGCCCCGAGGCCCAGGCCCAAACCTGCTGCGGAGCTCATGGTGCCATTTGCAGTGGCCCCGGTGGATCTCTGCGTGCCTCGGAGTGTCGGTTGCCTCGCTGGCTGTGGCACTCCCACAAAGGCTGTTGCTGCGGTTACCGCAGCAGCGCCGGTGGCAAAAGCTGAGATCTTGGACATGGCCGGCATTTCTACGGCACTGCTACGGCACCTGGGGCGTCCCTGGAAGGAGGCTCTACCGCCTTCAAGCCCCAAGTCACAGCGGAGAGCGGTGAGACAGGGGAAACACAAACATCACGGCAGCTTGCTATTTCTCGCTGTCAAGGAGCGAAGAAGCGCTGCTGATACGCCAACGCAAAGGCAGTGCGAGTGTAGTCGGTCCTCGCGAAAAGAAGCCGCCACGAGCAGCACTTGAGTGACCCAAGCCGGTTGTGGCCTGAGGCTAAGCGCCTGCTGCCCGTGCATCGGCCCAGTGGCCCAACACCCCATTCCAAGCAGCCAGTTCCTTGCATCAACGGAATCCGGTAAGGAGAGTCGTCAAGGCATGATAACGACGGCGGCCTGCAAATGAACTTGTAAAGGTGCCGTGTTTTTCGTGCACTGAAGCCGAGAGCTATGACCTTTTTTTTCATCAGGACTTGTGCAATCGCCTGAATATGCCTGCAATGGGGATTCAGGTTTGTTGGTGTGAAGTGGCAGTGGTCCTTGAATACAGCAACCAACTCCTATGTTAGAGCACGGTCTCCTTGCCCCATGGAGACAAGCCTTGCTAAAATGGCTCCCGAAGACCATAGCCTGGTAGATGGAGTAAGTAGCACGTTCTATACCTACCGGTAAGCCTCAATAAGCTTTTTCCGGATGTGGTGCAGTCTCGTGCCCGGAGTCTTGCCCCAAGCACACCCCCACACCTACAACCTGATCCACAAGAGGCACTTCTGCATTGAAGAGTCTTTGTCATGGACAGCCGAGGATCGCATCCTGACCCATGTCTGTCATCAAGGTCGAAAGCTCCGCAAACGGCAGCAGCACCGCGGCTGGAAACACGCCTGCGTACCATGGAGCAGGTGACGCGTGCACGCACTTGTCACAAGAAATGACAGCTTCGGGGCCCATCCTCGGTGCTTGAGCTCTGTGACCAACCTTTGGGCGAGGCTCGAGTGGAGAACATCTGAAGCACTCAGAAAGAGCTGACCTCTTTGCGTTCTCGGTTTCGAGGCATGCCAAAAGGATCGCACCTGCGAGGCATCACGGACAGGAACCTCTAAAGGTTAAGTAGCCTCTTCTCATCTCTTCTGCGAGTATAGCGTTTTTCCGCAACTGTATGTTGTATGCTGGATATGACAGCATTGGCAGTATGTGCGACTATCGCTGGGAACTTAACCCGTTCGCTGTCACACTGTGTCGGCTTTCAATCAGTGGTCATGGCCAGCAGCTGCTGTTGAAAGAACACCAATACTCGAGCGCCTTTGTCATTCTGACGCCTTTTTGTCGCGGACTCGTTTGTTATGAGCTGTGTCCAAGGAGTCCGAGCTTGGTTGTCTCGAGTCGTTGCACGGGCAACACTGGCAATTCGGAGAAGCCGGACAGGGATCTTGCTGATCTGTCTTCAGGTCAGGATGACAAATCTCGGACCGGTACTGTATTGCCTTTCAGTGTCAAGGCCGTTTCTGTTGGCTTCAGGACCCCTTGCCGAAAGTGTCATTCCGTGCTGAAGTTTACGACAGCCAGGCGAGACTAGGAGCCACTGTGGTCGAAGTTTTACCCTCTCCGATGGCTGCCAGCCTTCTAGGTTGCCGAAGAAGTCGGCGCTGGTGCCGCTGAGCTGCCACGTCCACCTACCACGGACCTTCCGAATCTCTCTACTGACAGCTTCAAAAAAAACCGTCGAGGCACTTTGTGTGACATCTCCTGCGCAAACTGTCCAAGAGGCGGAAAGCAAAATACCTAGCGGCTAGCGAGAACCTGCTGCCGCCATGGATCCGAGAGACCCAGCTCACTCAGCAGCTCCGGTGATACCTCACACAGCCTCACACAAGCCATGAGTCAAAGCCGGTTTCCCTAGTCCAGTTCATCACCGTGCTCTATAAGGGGGATACTCTTCGACGCCGGGCTCTGTCAGCAACGCGATGCCACCAACGCCGCGCACGCTCTGCAGCAGCATTGCCTTCTTTCCCAAAAGTTGCGGACTGGATACTGGGCTGAACTTGCTGTCAAAGAACCCCTCCCAACTCTTTCTACACCGGCCGAGGGCGGACGAAGCTCAGCGGTTCCAGTGTTTCGACAGTTGTGTGCACGCAGATGATGTACATCTGCCTGATGCTATGTGTAACACAGGTGTAACATTTCTGACCCTCTCTGCCCCGTGTGCACTTTGGCAACACAGCTAACTAGAAATCACCCTACTGGGCTGCCAAGGTTCTGTATGGCGCTTGGTCAAGTTCTTCCCAAAGCTGAAGGCCTGCAATGGCGTCTCGCAACACGAACACGATCTGCAATCAGATTGGGGTTGATGCCAGTTGACCCACCTGGGGCAACTGTGCATGGGTGTGTGTGCCAGATGTCGCCGTGACCTGATTGGCATGCTGTGAAAGTTAGAATTTCGCCAAGTGTGGTGCAGTGCATACTACAACTTCGTCTCAAAATTCAAAACCGAATAAAGCATGAAGCTCCAAGACACGATGGGGACAGTGTGATCCCCGGAAGATCCTGATTCAGACTGTTCAGTAAGTTCACTCCCGTGGGTTGTGCACCATGCATAGCGTCAGGCATATCCACCGTGAAACATGCTCTGTCGCATAAACATCTCCGCGAAAGCTCGGCAAGCGTCTCCACGGGCCGAGGAGGTAGGGAATGTCATTTTCGACAGCGATTTGCCATCCGTCCTTCAGGTGCAGCCAAACTCCGAGGATGTGAACACATACGCTTGCTGCTGCCAGAGCAACTTTGCGTCCTGCTCATCGGCCAGGAGCAGCTCAAGCAGATACTTTGCTCCTCACGCCGTGCTTCGGTTTAGCATCTGCTCCGTTGCTGCCACAGGCATTTGTTGGGCTCTCATGACTCAATGCTCAACCTCGAAGTCTAAGTGCCTCACTTTCCGAATCCGACCATGCCAGGCTGCATTTCCCGAAACTCCAACCAACCACGCCGAGGATCTGCCAATTTGAAGCCCACCACGGCGATTCAGCCAATCCTGCAAGCACGATTCTCAATGCCAGGCTGCCGAAAGCATTCGGTACTCACAGCTTAAGGCCAATACGACAAATATGAGCCAGGCGTTAACCATTTCTTGGCCATGGCCTCATCATCATGTGTGTCGGTTCGCTATGGTTCGCTCAATAGGTGACGGATGCGTGCACGTGCGCACCTTCCCATCAGCACTGCATCAAAGTCAACGAGTCAAGAGATTCGCCATCACTGAGCTCCGGGCGGCCGGGAGGAGTCAGCGCTGCAATGCGCAAACTTCGTACGGCGCTGGGGCGCCCCAGCCTTGCACGCTCAACGTAAAGAACCGCCAGAAGTTACTCCTTGGTTTCTGAGGGCTCGGCACCAAGCCAAACCTGTCGCATTCGTTGCAGGCTCACATGGGTTGTTGCAGGCCAAGGCAACCCACCCTCTGGCACTTGCTGTCGTAAAGCAGCTCCGCGACCTCTGCACTGGTGTTTGTCGATACCGAGCGCAGCAGCTAGGCAGCTAGATGAAGCCGAGAGGCATGAGTGTGTAGTTGCCTACCGGGAGAGACGTGAAGTTGCATTCCTCCGTCCATAAATCGCAATCACTACCTCAGCCACACAAAAGGACGGCGTACCATTGCTGTCTGCCCATAGCACAGCCAGAGAACAAAGCACTGCAAGCCAGGTGCCGTCGTGAGAAATTCCTGCGCAGGTTGCCTGCTTTAGGCACTCTGCTTGGCAGATCTGCCTGCTGACATCTGCTCGGACATCAGTTGGCTCAGCATATCGACCTGATACTTGGCATGGAGGTCCGAATCGCTCATTCGAGGGTCTGGGAGCGTTTTCGTGCCTTTTCCGTGGGTTTTCAACACCTTACGTTAAGCTAAGGTGCGGCAATAATCAAGGCCAGAATGGAACTCGCATTGCCAAGCGCTTTGGTTGGCATTGCCTCGACAAATGTCAATGTTGGACTTTGCTAGTCAATTCGCCTCTGTAGGTACTGCCGAAGGCCGCAAATGCTTGCGATGTCCGGACATGATGCTCTCGATATGTCGGAGCAGCAAAGGGAAGAGAAGCCTGAGGCAACAAAATTGTCTTCAACCTACGCCGAGTTCTGCCATCTGTACTGGACTGACACGAAGCTGGAAGCAGCTAAGTCACGACAGCAAGTTCATCCTCCTTGCATGGCTGATGTTGGCGTTAGCCACAAGTTACTGAAGTTCTTCTTCTTTGCAGGCGTGCGTCGATCTTCGAAGATGTGGGAGCCGGCATTCTGCTCGCGGGCTGCCGATGCGTCTGACTGTAGGCTGCAAGGCTCTGTCGAAGCTCCTGTGCCCTGTGAGTAGCTTACGAGGTTCTGACTGATATATGCTTCAGATTGGAATTCTTTCATGATCGACCCGCTGCGGTCGGTGTTTATGACAGGGAAAGAAAAAACGGAACCTGGTCAGCGATATGCAATTGCGTTGCAGCGCGCACACGCGCGCCCCTGCAGCAGATCATGCCAATGCCAACTTCGGCCACCGATTCCAACAACCAAACTGCGAGATGCGCAGCTCTTGTTTCAGCACTCGCATTTGGAAAGTCATGCCAGCGCATGGAATGCCTGCAAGACCGACTGGCTTCTTACATTCATGATTACGAGATGACCATCGGACTGGGCTTTGGCAAGCTCTTGTCATTTTTCGCGGCAATTGCGGCCTGCACCGCATGCTCACGGGTTCAAGACTGGTCGGAGTGGGAAGGCCAAGGAAAAAGAGATTTTGCTGTAGCAGGATACAGGAACACAATACTTACTAGCTCTCTGGACCTCCCCCAAAAACTTTTAAACAGATGCCACAGCACCCAGAAGTAGCAGGGAAAATCTCGCCTGAGACCCACTCCCTGCTTTAAGCTGCACATGTTGCCTTCTGAGCCGCAGTGAAAAACTTATGCTCCAACCTTTGTGGAGGTCGCCCAGCGCGTCTGCGCTCAGATGTCCCTGGGGATGAAGTCACCGACGGAAGACTGGAACTCGGCTGTCGTCAAGTTGGGGAGCAGCGAGGGGCCCTCACCGGTGGAGGCATTTCGGAGGACCATGAAGAAGAAGCCCACCATGGCCAAACGGCAGTGCTTGATCTCTCGGAGCTTCATGTTGTTCCACTCCTGCCACCGAATTCAAGATTTCGCAGAACATGTTTAAGCCCAATCTCCCCGACCGTTCGCCAACTTTCGCGCGAGCGGAGAGGTGCAAGGCGCCTCTGGCTGATACGCCGCAGTGAAGGTGGGCCCGAACCTTAGTCTTCTCTGTGCTTTGCCTGCTCCGCTTCCTCTGCGGATTGCGCTGGCTGGGAGGAAAGATCCGCTCAGCTGCGGACCACTTGGGGCGTGGGCTGCTCACCGGTGCCGTCGGATTCCAGCCAAGATCTCCAGGCTGGACGCCCTGAGAATACTTGCTGATGACCTGCGTGCGCAAGTGCATCTTCCGGCATCAGGGTCGCGACACGCAGCTGAGGCTTGGACATTCTCGTAGCGCCAAAGCTCCGACAGGGCAATCACGACAATGATCTGAAGCCAGCCGACGATGGGCACCTCAGCCACGCTCTAACCGACTCCAACCTCAAATCCCTGCAACAGCACCATCCTCAAAACCTCGGGCCGCACCTGCGTGGCCGCCTTCAGTGGGTCCGCGGAGTCCGTCGGGTATCGGGTGATGAAGGGCTCGAACTTGGCACCGGAAGTCTGCACCTTAGGCGGGATCAAGCATGAGTCATGAGGCACGCACTCAACTTAAGGCAGCTAAGGTGCGGTGTAGCCCAGCACTGCCAGCATGCACACGCGCCCGTGAGCAAGCTCCGCCTCACGGTACCAAGGCAGCAGGCGCTGGTTCTTGGCAAAGCCTGCAGGGTCGAAGCCCACATCGCCCACGTAGGTGCTGTTGAAGATGTCGTTGCTGAGGCCCTCTGGGATGGGATCCCAAGGGATAGCCGTGGACTTGCCGGCGCCGGAGCCGAACTCAGCTCGCAGAGCCAAGCGATCAGAAGCATCACGCTGAGCATAGCCACCCACGAAGGGGTTCAGGTTTCCGGTGGTAAACTGCTCGACCAGGGACTGGCCTGTGGCACCATTCTGTGCCACAATGGCAGCCATCGCAACCATAGCCAGGCGGCCGTTGTTGATCTCGGCAAGCAGCTTCTTCTGCTTCTCCTCTGGCTCAAGAGTGTTAATCCGTCCCCAGAAGGGAGGATAGCCATAGTTCTCAGGGAAGGCCTGGTTCTTGGCCTCGATGGCTCCGGCGAGAGCAAAGATCTGCAACCAGCCGAAGGTCGGAACCTTGTAGATGGCCTCAATCGTGCAAGGAATGTCGGAGAACTTCAGGCCCATGCTGGGTGATAAGTCGCCACCGAAGCGGCCGAAGAGGTCAGGCACGATCATCCCGATGGTGGCAACCATGCAGATCCGTCCGTGTTTCAGCTCCAGCTCACGATTCCGGCGGAATTTCTCCTCATCCTGGAAGGCCATCATGCCGAATGGGTCCCAGTAGCCAAGAGGAGGGCACGCACCAAGTTCCTGCGAAGGGTCAAAGGCGAAGAAGCCCTGACCGTCGTTGAAGGGCGAAATGTGCCCGGCAGTGAGCTGCTCGATCGGAGACTGTCCAGTGAGGCCGTTCTGAATCAGCATGCCAGACATCGCGACCATTGCCAGCCTTCCGTTGTTCAGCTCTGTGGTCAACTTCAGCCGACGCTCGGCCGGATCCTGGATCTTCCTGCCCCAGTATCCGGTCCCGAAGTTGCCGGGCTCCTGTTGCGACGGGCAGGATTTAGGATTTACAGGGCTCGTAGGCTTTGGACTTTAGGGTGGCGGGCGGGTTTGTGTGGCTCCTGACCATACTTGGCGAAACCGAAGCCACCGAAGGACTGGTCCTTGAAGAGCTGCGTCTCAATAAGTCCTGCCACGAGCAAGATCTGCAGCCAGCCCTCCAGAGGGACCTTGCTCACAGCGGCAATTCCTGACGGGACGTCTGCGAACTTCAAGTTCTGCGATGGCGACAAGTAACCATCGAACTTGCCGAAGATGTCCGGCCAAACCATGCCAATGGTGGCGACCATGCACAACCTCCCGTGCTTCAGCTCCACTGCTCGGCGGCGGTCGAAGTCCTCCTTCGTGCAGCCGTCCTGGCAGTAGCCGATGGGGTCCCAGAACAGCAGCGGGTCGCAGGCACCAATCTCCCCAGAGGCATCGTAGGCGCAGCGCGCGACGCCACTGCGCACGGCCGGCGCAGGAGCCGGGCGCACTAAGGACGCAATCAAGCCCATGGCCCCGAGGCCCAGGCCCAAACCTGCTGCGGAGCTCATGGTGCCATTTGCAGTGGCCCCGGTGGATCTCTGCGTGCCTCGGAGTGTCGGTTGCCTCGCTGGCTGTGGCACTCCCACAAAGGCTGTTGCTGCGGTTACCGCAGCAGCGCCGGTGGCAAAAGCTGAGATCTTGGACATGGCCGGCATTTCTACGGCACTGCTACGGCACCTGGGGCGTCCCTGGAAGGAGGCTCTAACCGCCTTCAAGCCCCAAGGCGCGGCGGAGTTTCTATGAGGGACTTGGGTGGTCATTGACGGGTGAATGAAAAACCCTTCACGCAGGCCACCGCTCCGAGAGGTACTAGTTACTAGCCCTATCAGACCTGCCCTTGAACTCTCATTGAGGACAACTGGCCAGGAAGAAAGAGAGCCTGTCTTGCTTGCACAGAATCGCACTTCCAATTTCGACGACCGCAACAACACCAGCTACAGTACCACCACCACCACCACCACCACCACCACCACCAACAACAACGACAAATACGACAACAACGACAACGGACGAAGGCACACCAGGTCTGTGCAATGCGGTCGCTTTGGTGCCGAGCACCTTACGTCACGCTGGCAGAACATGTTCCTGCCAAGCTTTGTTCAGAAAAAGACTTGCCCACGGTCCACCATGTACAACACAAAATCTATTGACAAATACGGGTTAGGTTAAATGCAATTGGGTAGACCCTGCAACTCTGCCAGGCTTGAATGGAAAGCTGCTTGCAGTGCCTTCGGCTACGACCTGCTCTAGGGCTCGAAGCTGGACATATCGACACATCATTACACATCTACACGCACCTGGCTTCTGAGCTGCAGGACCTTAAGCTGTGAAAAACTTATGCTCCAACCTTTGTGGAGGTCGCCCAGCGCGTCTGCGCTCAGATGTCCCTGGGGATGAAGTCACCGACGGAAGACTGGAACTCGGCTGTCGTCAAGTTGGGGAGCAGCGAGGGGCCCTCACCGGTGGAGGCATTTCGGAGGACCATGAAGAAGAAGCCCACCATGGCCAAACGGCAGTGCTTGATCTCTCGGAGCTTCATGTTGTTCCACTCCTGCCACCGAATTCAAGATTTCGCAGAACATGTTTAAGCCCAATCTCCCCGACCGTTCGCCAACTTTCGCGCGAGCGGAGAGGTGCAAGGCGCCTCTGGCTGATACGCCGCAGTGAAGGTGGGCCCGAACCTTAGTCTTCTCTGTGCTTTGCCTGCTCCGCTTCCTCTGCGGATTGCGCTGGCTGGGAGGAAAGATCCGCTCAGCTGCGGACCACTTGGGGCGTGGGCTGCTCACCGGTGCCGTCGGATTCCAGCCAAGATCTCCAGGCTGGACGCCCTGAGAATACTTGCTGATGACCTGCGTGCACAAGTGCATCTTCCGGCATCAGGGTCGCGACACGCAGCTGAGGCTTGGACATTCTCGTAGCGCCAAAGCTCCGACAGGGCAATCACGACAATGATCTGAAGCCAGCCGACGATGGGCACCTCAGCCACGCTCTAACCGACTCCAACCTCAAATCCCTGCAACAGCACCATCCTCAAAACCTCGGGCCGCACCTGCGTGGCCGCCTTCAGTGGGTCCGCGGAGTCCGTCGGGTATCGGGTGATGAAGGGCTCGAACTTGGCACCGGAAGTCTGCACCTTAGGCGGGATCAAGCATGAGTCATGAGGCACGCACTCAACTTAAGGCAGCTAAGGTGCGGTGTAGCCCAGCACTGCCAGCATGCACACGCGCCCGTGAGCAAGCTCCGCCTCACGGTACCAAGGCAGCAGGCGCTGGTTCTTGGCAAAGCCTGCAGGGTCGAAGCCCACATCGCCCACGTAGGTGCTGTTGAAGATGTCGTTGCTGAGGCCCTCTGGGATGGGATCCCAAGGGATAGCCGTGGACTTGCCGGCGCCGGAGCCGAACTCAGCTCGCAGAGCCAAGCGATCAGAAGCATCACGCTGAGCATAGCCACCCACGAAGGGGTTCAGGTTTCCGGTGGTAAACTGCTCGACCAGGGACTGGCCTGTGGCACCATTCTGTGCCACAATGGCAGCCATCGCAACCATAGCCAGGCGGCCGTTGTTGATCTCGGCAAGCAGCTTCTTCTGCTTCTCCTCTGGCTCAAGAGTGTTAATCCGTCCCCAGAAGGGAGGATAGCCATAGTTCTCAGGGAAGGCCTGGTTCTTGGCCTCGATGGCTCCGGCGAGAGCAAAGATCTGCAACCAGCCGAAGGTCGGAACCTTGTAGATGGCCTCAATCGTGCAAGGAATGTCGGAGAACTTCAGGCCCATGCTGGGTGATAAGTCGCCACCGAAGCGGCCGAAGAGGTCAGGCACGATCATCCCGATGGTGGCAACCATGCAGATCCGTCCGTGTTTCAGCTCCAGCTCGCGATTCCGGCGGAATTTCTCCTCATCCTGGAAGGCCATCATGCCGAATGGGTCCCAATAGCCAAGAGGAGGGCACGCACCAAGTTCCTGCGAAGGGTCAAAGGCGAAGAAGCCCTGGCCGTCGTTGAAGGGCGAAATGTGCCCGGCAGTGAGCTGCTCGATCGGAGACTGTCCAGTGAGGCCGTTCTGAATCAGCATGCCAGACATCGCGACCATTGCCAGCCTTCCGTTGTTCAGCTCTGTGGTCAACTTCAGCCGACGCTCGGCCGGATCCTGGATCTTCCTGCCCCAGTATCCGGTCCCGAAGTTGCCGGGCTCCTGACAGTTGCGACGGGCAGGATTTAGGATACACAGGGCTCGTAGGCTTTGGACTTTAGGGTGGCGGGGGGGTTTGTGTGGCTCCTGACCATACTTGGCGAAACCGAAGCCACCGAAGGACTGGTCCTTGAAGAGCTGCGTCTCAATAAGTCCTGCCACGAGCAAGATCTGCAGCCAGCCCTCCAGAGGGACCTTGCTCACAGCGGCAATTCCTGACGGGACGTCTGCGAACTTCAAGTTCTGTGATGGCGACAAGTAACCATCGAACTTGCCGAAGATGTCCGGCCAAACCATGCCAATGGTGGCGACCATGCACAACCTCCCGTGCTTCAGCTCCACTGCTCGGCGGCGGTCGAAGTCCTCCTTCGTGCAGCCGTCCTGGCAGTATCCAATGGGGTCCCAGAACAGCAGCGGGTCGCAGGCACCAATCTCCCCAGAGGCATCGTAGGCGCAGCGCGCGACGCCACTGCGCACGGCCGGCGCAGGAGCCGGGCGCACTAAGGACGCAATCAAGCCCATGGCCCCGAGGCCCAGGCCCAAACCTGCTGCGGAGCTCATGGTGCCATTTGCAGTGGCCCCGGTGGATCTCTGCGTGCCTCGGAGAGTCGGTTGCCTCGCTGGCTGTGGCACTCCCACAAAGGCTGTTGCTGCGGTTACCGCAGCAGCGCCGGTGGCAAAAGCTGAGATCTTGGACATGGCCGGCATTTCTACGGCACTGCTACGGCACCTGGGGCGTCCCTGGAAGGAGGCTCTAACCGCCTTCAAGCCCCAAGGCGCGGCGGAGTTTCTATGAGGGACTTGGGTGGTCATTGACGGGTGAAAAACCCTTCACGCAGGCCACCGCTCCGAGAGGTACTAGTTACTAGCCCTATCAGACCTGCCCTTGAACTCTCATTGAGGACAACTGGCCAGGAAGAAAGAGAGCCTGTCTTGCTTGCACAGAATCGCACTTCCAATTTCGACGACCGCAACAACACCAGCTACAGTAACACCACCACCACCACCACCAACAACAACGACAAATACGACAACAACGACAACGGACGAAGGCACACCAGGTCTGTGCAATGCGGTCGCTTTGGTGCCGAGCACCTTTCGTCACGCTGGCAGAACAGGTTCCTGCCAAGCTTTGTTCAGAAAAAGACTTGCCCACGGTCCACCATGTACAACACAAAATCTATTGACAAATACGGGTTAAATGCAATTGGGTAGACCCTGCAACTCTGCCAGGCTTGAATGGAAAGCTGCTTGCAGTGCCTTCGGCTACGACCTGCTCTAGGGCTCGAAGCTGGACATATCGACACATCATTACACATCTACACGCACCTGGCTTCTGAGCTGCAGGACCTTAAGCTGTGAAAAACTTATGCTCCAACCTTTGTGGAGGTCGCCCAGCGCGTCTGCGCTCAGATGTCCCTGGGGATGAAGTCACCGACGGAAGACTGGAACTCGGCTGTCGTCAAGTTGGGGAGCAGCGAGGGGCCCTCACCGGTGGAGGCATTTCGGAGGACCATGAAGAAGAAGCCCACCATGGCCAAACGGCAGTGCTTGATCTCTCGGAGCTTCATGTTGTTCCACTCCTGGCACCGAATTCAAGATTTCGCAGAACATGTTTAAGCCCAATCTCCCCGACCGTTCGCCAACTTTCGCGCGAGCGGAGAGGTGCAAGGCGCCTCTGGCTGATACGCCGCAGTGAAGGTGGGCCCGAACCTTAGTCTTCTCTGTGCTTTGCCTGCTCCGCTTCCTCTGCGGATTGCGCTGGCTGGGAGGAAAGATCCGCTCAGCTGCGGACCACTTGGGGCGTGGGCTGCTCACCGGTGCCGTCGGATTCCAGCCAAGATCTCCAGGCTGGACGCCCTGAGAATACTTGCTGATGACCTGCGTGCACAAGTGCATCTTCCGGCATCAGGGTCGCGACACGCAGCTGAGGCTTGGACATTCTCGTAGCGCCAAAGCTCCGACAGGGCAATCACGACAATGATCTGAAGCCAGCCGACGATGGGCACCTCAGCCACGCTCTAACCGACTCCAACCTCAAATCCCTGCAACAGCACCATCCTCAAAACCTCGGGCCGCACCTGCGTGGCCGCCTTCAGTGGATCCGCGGAGTCCGTCGGGTATCGGGTGATGAAGGGCTCGAACTTGGCACCGGAAGTCTGCACCTTAGGCGGGATCAAGCATGAGTCATGAGGCACGCACTCAACTTAAGGCAGCTAAGGTGCGGTGTAGCCCAGCACTGCCAGCATGCACACGCGCCCGTGAGCAAGCTCCGCCTCACGGTACCAAGGCAGCAGGCGCTGGTTCTTGGCAAAGCCTGCAGGGTCGAAGCCCACATCGCCCACGTAGGTGCTGTTGAAGATGTCGTTGCTGAGGCCCTCTGGGATGGGATCCCAAGGGATAGCCGTGGACTTGCCGGCGCCGGAGCCGAACTCAGCTCGCAGAGCCAAGCGATCAGAAGCATCACGCTGAGCATAGCCACCCACGAAGGGGTTCAGGTTTCCGGTGGTAAACTGCTCGACCAGGGACTGGCCTGTGGCACCATTCTGTGCCACAATGGCAGCCATCGCAACCATAGCCAGGCGGCCGTTGTTGATCTCGGCAAGCAGCTTCTTCTGCTTCTCCTCTGGCTCAAGAGTGTTAATCCGTCCCCAGAAGGGAGGATAGCCATAGTTCTCAGGGAAGGCCTGGTTCTTGGCCTCGATGGCTCCGGCGAGAGCAAAGATCTGCAACCAGCCGAAGGTCGGAACCTTGTAGATGGCCTCAATCGTGCAAGGAATGTCGGAGAACTTCAGGCCCATGCTGGGTGATAAGTCGCCACCGAAGCGGCCGAAGAGGTCAGGCACGATCATCCCGATGGTGGCAACCATGCAGATCCGTCCGTGTTTCAGCTCCAGCTCGCGATTCCGGCGGAATTTCTCCTCATCCTGGAAGGCCATCATGCCGAATGGGTCCCAGTAGCCAAGAGGAGGGCACGCACCAAGTTCCTGCGAAGGGTCAAAGGCGAAGAAGCCCTGACCGTCGTTGAAGGGCGAAATGTGCCCGGCAGTGAGCTGCTCGATCGGAGACTGTCCAGTGAGGCCGTTCTGAATCAGCATGCCAGACATCGCGACCATTGCCAGCCTTCCGTTGTTCAGCTCTGTGGTCAACTTCAGCCGACGCTCGGCCGGATCCTGGATCTTCCTGCCCCAGTATCCGGTCCCGAAGTTGCCGGGCTCCTGACAGTTGCGACGGGCAGGATTTAGGATACACAGGGCTCGTAGGCTTTGGACTTTAGGGTGGCGGGGGGGGTTGAGTGGCTCCTGACCATACTTGGCGAAACCGAAGCCACCGAAGGACTGGTCCTTGAAGAGCTGCGTCTCAATAAGTCCTGCCACGAGCAAGATCTGCAGCCAGCCCTCCAGAGGGACCTTGCTCACAGCGGCAATTCCTGACGGGACGTCTGCGAACTTCAAGTTCTGCGATGGCGACAAGTAACCATCGAACTTGCCGAAGATGTCCGGCCAAACCATGCCAATGGTGGCGACCATGCACAACCTCCCGTGCTTCAGCTCCACTGCTCGGCGGCGGTCGAAGTCCTCCTTCGTGCAGCCGTCCTGGCAGTATCCAATGGGGTCCCAGAACAGCAGCGGGTCGCAGGCACCAATCTCCCCAGAGGCATCGTAGGCGCAGCGCGCGACGCCACTGCGCACGGCCGGCGGAGCCGGGCGCACTAAGGACGCAATCAAGCCCATGGCCCCGAGGCCCAGGCCCAAACCTGCTGCGGAGCTCATGGTGCCATTTGCAGTGGCCCCGGTGGATCTCTGCGTGCCTCGGAGTGTCGGTTGCCTCGCTGGCTGTGGCACTCCCACAAAGGCTGTTGCTGCGGTTACCGCAGCAGCGCCGGTGGCAAAAGCTGAGATCTTGGACATGGCCGGCATTTCTACGGCACTGCTACGGCACCTGGGGCGTCCCTGGAAGGAGGCTCTAACCGCCTTCAAGCCCCAAGTCGCAGTGGAAGGGCGGTGTTCAAGAACTAACTTTGGAAAAATCAGACCTCTTCCGACAACGACGAGCCCTTGAAACCACAAACACGATCGCAACATTGAGACATGCGATGGCCTGGCGCAACGAAGCGATGCAAGGCTGTGAGATCCTCCGCATGGCGAGCACACAAGATTCACCGAAAGAACAGACTGAGCTGAAGCCAACGGCTCTTCGTTGGGTGAGCAAGCTCTGACGGCCAGCACTACGTATGTTATACCAACTACCAATATCTGCCAACACTAAACTAGTCACTACATAACTTTTGTGCATCCAGCCTGCACGCCATCTGTTACACTGTTACTGCACGACTGTCGTACATCCAGCCTGCATCCCATCTTTCTGAGTATGCCCCTAGCTACACTAGGAACTTTCTTCGGTCAGCCGTGTGCGCGAAATTAGTAAAGAAAGCCGCGGAAGTATCAGGCATTATTCAAGCGGTTTGCGAGTTCAGCTGCTCTTCGGGGATTCTCTTCTTTCAGCCTCGCAATACTGCGGGAGAGATAACAGGAAAGTGCTTCGTCGACAATCACCTTCCCGCCATTGACGGCAAAACTGGCACCAGAAACTCCAGCACTCTGAACGGCCGGAACAATCACCACCACCGCCCCCACCACCACCACCACCACCACCACCACCACCACCACCACCACCACCACCACCACCACCACCACCACCACCACCACCACCACCACCACCACCAAAACCACCACCACCACCACCACCACCACCAACAACAACCACAACCAAAACCAACCACAATAACAACAAACACAACAGCTACTGCTTACTACCACTGCCTCTACCAATACCGAAACTACCTGCGTACTCAGGTGTGGGGATAAACGGCAAGAAACTGACGACAAGTAGTTAGCACCCGTCACAAAGTAGAAAGCACGAGCTAGACAAAGCAGATGCAAAACTGATTACAAGAAGCGCAGCTCAATGCAAAACAACACGAACAACGAGGAGCAAAAGACAGTCGCCCCGGAACAACAGCACAAAACCATTCACAACCAACAACGTAGGCCATGGGCTACATAATGACATACATGTCCGTGAGCTGCTGCCTTCATTTGCGAGTTTGACTCGCTCAGCAGGCTCCAATTTACACATCAGCTGTGCGAGCCACGAGTCCAGATACGCCTGGCTACAGAAACGATGCAGAGTAACTGCAGAGCAGTGCATCTCGCCATCCGAAAAACACTCTCCTTTCAAACAAAGCAACAAAAACACTCCCGTCGGGCCCTGCGGTCCTTGGGCGATGCTGCGCTGCTGCCGCTACTAATATACATTGCCTATATTTCCTTCCAAGACCCCTTGAAAACGCGGAAAGCGCCGGCGTTAACTAGACGCTGCTGGCACCTTCCCGATAATGAGCGCCTTGAGCCAAGATTATCTCAGAATCGCTTCTCGAACCTCTCAACTGAAGTGAAGATGAGCCTGGAATTCGCGGATGATAAGAGTGTCCCCCATCTGTTCGCAATCGCACTTTTTCCTTCCACACAGTTCGTCCTTTCCGCAGGATCAAGTTCAAGCCGCCTGGCAACAAAGACATTCGCAATCAAAGCTCCGTGAAGTTTCACGTCGGGACATGCGCAGGATACCATTCATCTCACACGGGTCTCCCCACAGGCACAGACAAACACAAACACATCACCACTCCCTGAGCGACTGACCATCTGTGCCTCTGGCACTCTTTGTGTGTCGTGTACGATGCAGCTTTCGTACCGGTCTAGACTCTAGACATGCCTAGGGGTCCTTCTTTCCGCCACTTGCAATGACTTTACATGGATGCTTGCATAAATGCTCCGCATTGTCTGCTGCCACTTGGAGTTGGACCTTTCCTGTGGTCTTCGCCTCATTCCTCTCAGAGCACTTCGAGTTAATCCGTGCTTTTCTCTCGCGATTCCATTCGGAATGTCGCCCAATCAAAAATGCGCAGTTCTAAAAGAGTAAAGAGCTGCTTCTGCTGCAGCAAGGAAACGCGGCTGCTGCGCTGCGAGCCCGTTTTTTGGCAGCCTGAACTGCTGTAGCGGGATATTTTGGCTTGCTGCCAATGTGAGCAGAATGAGCTTGCAGGCGCCTGAGCACCCTTTCAGGGGATTATGGGACGGCTTCCTGCCAAGGAAAAAGATACCCACGAGGCCGCTCCCATCAAACCATGGCTAACGGTTTCGCCGCCAGGGTTCTTGTATTTGGGAGCTTCTTGTTCTACGCACCTAACCCCCATTGACACATCCCCGGACCTGGAACGAATCCGACTCAATGCACAGTCACCCCCCCCAGCTATACGCTCCCGATATGGCCTGGAGTTGGCAGAAGCTCGTCAACCGTTCCCACACTAGAGCCAAAGTCCTAAAGATGCAGTGCCCGACAGTAGGGCACATCTAGCTAGCAACGTTGGCAGCGACCCACAAGTTGCACCTCTGGCACTGGTGCTGCAAAGAGAGTCAGGAGCTGAGAAAAAGGATCCTCTTCTTTAGTTGTCTTCCTTTGATGTCCAGTCCAGCTCCTTGGTCCTAGGTTCATTTTGAGCCGCCCGGTCAGATCGAGGTAACTCTACCTCAGCTGCACCAAAGCTGACATGCACCAGTCCTCGAACTCGAAGTCAAACACAGTGTTGTCTGCCCAGTTGCCAGAAACGGTCTTCGATTCTCCCAATCCGCCGACAAAGATGCCCCATTTCCCTCAAGACCTCGTGGCAGGTCTCACATCATGCCTTCTCTGCTGAAATGCAGCAAACCGATGCCGCCGAACTGTACGTGTCGAGATGCCAAGCCGGTCTGCCGCTGGACGATTCGCCGAATGTCCTGGGGCGATCTTGGCACAGCTGGGGAATCCCGAGACTCCCAGCCTCACACATCGCTTGCGTGATCTGTGGCTCCGCTTCGGGCAATGTGCAAGGCGGCTCTTGGAAGCAGCCGGAAAACTGAAGTGCGACTTGCTCCGAGATCCCGGGTGCAACTGGTAGTGACTAGCAGCAAAAAGCCGTGCTGGATCAAGTTCCATTAACTCAAACGCAGCGCGCTGATCCCACATAGCCCACATCTGCTATTCAACTTCCCTCGTTGTGCCGGATTCCGCTACATCTGCGTCCCGAGCAGAGGTGACCCCAAACTTTCTCCGGCACCGACTCTGCTCGCTAGAGCGTTAGGACAACACAGTCTGCAGACTCCCTGATCTTAGTGGGCACGGCGTGCTGCAGACAAGCATCACAACGAACGTCGATGATGTCCTTCGCAGGGCTGCTAGGGCTCTCTTTCTCTCTCTTCCTCTCCCTGCCCCTCTCTGAAGTTGCAATCTGCTCAAACGTCCTTCCTGAACGCATGCCCTGAACGCAGGAAGAATCATAGAACACCAAGAAGCCTGGTTAGAGATCTCTCGGCCACCACGGATCTTCAGAATCACTTCCAGGAGCTCTTCGCCTCAAAAACAGCCACGGAGTCAAAGCGAAGAAACGCAGATATCTGAAAGGAGCGGAGCTCCCCCTTAATTAAGGAACATTCCTTAAATCATATTAGGGATCCTACTATAATTTAAGGTATATTCCTTAATTCAAGGGTATTGGAGTCTCTGGGTCTGTTCTGCTTGCAGCCCAAAACGCGTGTGACTTCCTGCTCTCGTCCGGCATCTTGGTCCTGTTCGAAGAGGTACTCCTGACGCGGTTTCCAGTCTCAGGGAACTGCTTTCAAACGCTCCTGTCAGGAGGCATCGATTTGTGGGGGAAGGCGTTCAGGATGCCACCACTTGTGGTGAAAGGTTCTTACAGCGAAGAAGATCGGGCCCTGCAGAAGTCTTCGGCGGAGAATCCCAACTATGCGAGAGCACCACCGGGTTTTTTTCTGAAGGCCGCCTCGACCCCAAAAATCCTCAGAAGACCCTGCTGCAACTGATACAGGGACTTTCACGTACAGAGAGAGAGAGAGAGAGAGAGAGAGAGGGAGGGAAAGACAAACAGACAAGGGCCAAGCATAGATCCAAGGACATCTCGTTGAACAGAGAGCCCGGTCCGTCAAGTCAATCACATCCTCAGGCTTGACCTGACAAGCATGTGAAGTTCTGAGCATGCCTTTTCGCAGTCTCTGACAGACTCTGCAGTCTTCTGTGTTTGAAGCTTCTTTATCCGTCGAGTTTGGAGCTTGGGCAGCGGAACCGTCGGGCCTGAAGTTCGGAGAGAACTTTCTGGGCCTTCTCATCTTCGACGACGGCGGCCAGTTCCTCGGGTAGCCCAAGCGATGCTGTCTGACGGACCTCTCGTCGTTGGACGTGCTGTCGAGCGGCCATCTTCGAGATGTTTTCGTTGCCATCCTGTCCGAAACGCACATATCAAGACAACACATCGCACCACCGGATCGGTTGCTGACCGGCCTTGTCGAGCTCAGTCAGCATTGACCGTAGATGTCCCTTCATGAAGTCGATCGCAAGACCCTCCTGAAAAGGTCACAAAGATGCCGCTTGTGAATCATAACGACTAGAGGACACGTCGGAATTCCTGAGATCGTGAGGCGGTGATACAACAGCGGCAGCCTGCCTCGTCTCCTCGTTTGACTTCAGACACAACCTGACAGCTCAACGGCAAACCCCTTAAAGCCTTGGACAGCTGGTGGCAGTCCAACTGCAGGCCAGGAGCTTCGCACAGGATGCCAATCAGCATATTCATAACCTGGGATCAATCTGCGAATGCCGCCCAGGTAGAACTACATGGAAGCACTTAACGGAACAAATGCGGCGAGGCGACCGTCACGTTTGTCAGCAACACGTACGCAAAGAAGATTAAGATCATCGCCCAGCCCAGCATCCAATGCTCCCTGGGAGCTTTGCATCTCCGAAGGAAGCTCACAGGGGCTATGACAGAGTGCTTGCCGCCTCTCTGACTTGAACTGAAAGACGCCGCGATTCTGCTATACTCTACCGATCTCTACCGCCGCCCAGCAAGCTGTCACCGCTCTGTCACACTCCGCTCCTAATGCCTGATGGCGTCAGTGCCGGAATAAATTAGAATCTTGACGCTTGATCGAGGCTCTTTCGAGAATTCCCAGCCCTCACCTTTGACATCAGCAAGGCTTTGCCAAGGCACTCAGTCCTGTCCGGCAGCGTCCTAAGTTGCAGACATACACACATACCTCTGCACAAACACACGCATACAGGCCTACCTGCCTACATACTTACATACACTATATATACATATATATATATATATATACTCATACACCCCCTCTTTCTCTCTACATGTACGTGTAACCATATATTGGTATATCTGTATTAGTGATTTGTGTGCATGCTCCTGTACATATGTATGCAGGCATGCATGCATACATGGATGGAGCTCCTCCTAATTGAACTGTCGTCGTTTATGGACCTCCCTGTCGCATTGACGTCTGAAGGAAAGCCAGCAGTTACATGGACAGGGTGGCATGCGGAGTTGAAATCCTCGCGGCTTCTGTTGTTCTGGATATTGAAACCGGTCGCCACATCTGACAAATGCCATCTGATAACAGTCGAAGAGATGGGTCGCTTGGTGGTTCTGTGCATGAAAGAACAAGTGCGCATGATCCGCTGCCACAGAAGAAGCGAGGATTCCCAAGGCCAAATCCGAACTCTCCCAAACCCCTAGGGTTGGAAGCGGGGTGAAGCCAAAGATCCAGACACATTCCATACATGGATCATGGCAAACCCCAAGCGAAGCAAGCCCGGCCCAACAACACCCACAGGCGGAGGGCGAGCGGGGCCCATGCACCCTCTGACTGGTGGAAGCGAAGCCAATTGCTCCAGTTGCTTGTCTGCAGCTGAGATGCCTCAGGTCGTTGACGATGTCTTTGGTTCCTCGAGACATGCAGGGAGAATCAGTGTGAGGTTTCACTCGGCATGCTCTACAACTCTTGAAATGGGCCGGGAAACCATCCATGAAGGTCCCATCCAGTATCAGGGTCCAAATGCCTCGACAAGCAGTTCAATCAATTTATGCAGTTCTTAGCTGGCAACAAGGGATCTCAAGCTGAGGAGCAGAAGCCCAAGGTGCCGAAGGCTTCCTCAGATCGGAGCTCCACCAACGTGTGACGATCGGTCAACGATGCCACCCCCAAGAAATCTCAGGTATACCAGTCCCTGCCGTGATTCGGCTACTTTGTCGTCGTTCTCAGCAACTGGCTTCAGGAACATGAGCAAGACAATAGCGAACCTCGGCAGGACTTTCATCGAAGTACATGTTCCGCATCTGTCACAGGAGCCTTTCTGCACCCTCCGAGAAACACATAGGTGATCAAACCGATCAGCAGCAAGGCGGAGGAGACAGCCTTAGTGTGCAGGAGCGCAGATAGAGAGGACAGGACCTTCCAACAGAGAAAGGCTCTGGCTCGCAAACCAAACCAAGCAAGAGGGAGCATCCAAGAGAGAGACGTTCTTCGTCCGAGGTGCCCTCGAAGCCACGCGCATGCCGTTGATGAGGGTCAGCAGCTCGGGAGCTGATCGTATTAGGCGCACCAGGCGGCTTAGACGCAGCAGCCGAAGCAGTCGTAAAGGACCTGGTGTCAAGCAAAGTGCCCTGCCAGATTCGATGCATTCGCCCCCCACGTCATGCGTGCGAGATGGTGGACTTGGTGGATGCCAGCACGATTGCATGTGTATGAAACGAAAGGATTTGGTATCACTGAAAGATGACTTGAACAGCACGCGTTGCAAATGCATCTCGCATGGGCTTACCGATTGTGTAGTGTCGGACTCGGACTTCAGAGACAGACAGGAGGTACTATGAACTTAGCCCGATTGTCTATGGTAAGATGGGCCCCTAGTATGGACCCTCAGACCCTTTTGAGGGAGTTCAGGTATATAAGGATATTAGGGTTAAGGGCCCATGCTAGGGGCCCATGATTTCAACCGTGAAGTCTGAGAAACCACAGGAGAGTTTGAGGTGAAGCCTTGCGTCGTGATTGTTAGGCTTCCGGCACTGCTGAACCTGCGACAGTTCCATCAATCAGCCTCTGCAAAGAATTTTGAATGCTCGTTGGTCTGGTCGATTCCATCGGCAGGCTATCGCGGGACGTCTGGGAACGATCACCAACCCGTGGCGACGTTCCCTCTTGCTTGACTCCACTTCCAATTGCCCGTGCTCGGCCTTCAGTATTTCATTGAAACATATACGTTGAGGTGGTGTTTTCCATCCGACGTGATGGCGCTGATGCCAAGGTGCTGTTGGCTCCCCGCGCCGGCTTTCAGTCTTGCGGGTTCGTCATCCGCTTCCCTCATAACACAGCACCCCACACATGCACCGGTGCAGCGGCAGTAGCTGCACTTTCCTTCAACGGCGGTGGCGACTGTGATCTAGCTCCTGTAGTTTCGAGGCTCATGCCATCAGCTCATCAGGGCTTAGCTTGTAGTTGCCCGTCCAGGATTATCAAGTGTCATTGAGCTCCGTAGTCAGGAGCTACGTCAGACCGTCTCGGAAGTGGCCAGGCCTGTCGGCATGGACGTGCTCGCTCCCATGACGGCAATGATGATCGTCAACACCTGAGCCATTTCACGATTGTGCCAACAGGTCCTGCCTGGATGGCAAGGTCCTTCTCTTGCGATCTACACAAACAGAGCAGGAATGAGGCTGTGGCCCATGTCTCCGCGATCATGAGCAATACCTTTCAAGCCACTGCCGCTGCGTGTCTTCTAGACTGTCTTTGTTGCGCTAATGCCTTTTCAGCCAACCAGCATACACCAGGATCGTATGTCGCGGACACCAGTCGTGATGTCTATTCCAAGACCGTGCGGCACAGGCTGTACACGTGCAGACATGCTCAGCCAAGCTGCCAGCAACGTGTCGAAGACGAACCACTTGTCACGAAGACAGTTTCTCTTCAACGCGAAAGCTAAAAATCCTCGGTTGTTTCGCAACAAAAGCACAGTGGATGCTTCGCGACTCCGTGCAACACCAAAACATCCCAGGAGCCACATCTGGTTCGCCGAGTGTCTAATGAGAAGCTCGAACGTAAAAAAGGCACAAAATAGGTTGTCGCAGACCTCTCAGAGGCATAAGTAAGGTCCAAGAGAAGCACCCAGCAGCAGCTCAATCTCTCAGAGGCAGCTCTGAATGTCTTGGAAAACGTGCGCACCTGAAAGGGCCACACGGCGTTCTCATCCAGCATCGTCTCCGCTGGATTGAATTGGGCATCCACGCCTTAATGAAGCGTGTTTGCATCAGGAGCGAACTTTTCGAGCCTTGTGCCGCCGAAGCTGCCGATGTATACAGCGTTGATACCTTAGTACGACCATTGACAATGCAAGACCCCACTCCTTCAAGCTTAACGTGTCCTATGCCTCTCTGACAGACGGCAAGACCGCCTCTGGCTGCTCAGCTCCAAGCTAATCACGAGCAGGGTAAGCCGCTCAAATTTCTCGCTGCGTGCCTCAGTTGCTGTGCAGGACCGGGACGAGCTACAAGAACCTACATGCTCGCAATTGCCCGACTACGTCCATAAATGGCAATGTCCCTCCCGTCCCTGCGGCCAGGCAGCAATGGCTTGAGAACAACCCGTCGTCTTGTAGAAGTTGGTGACGTTGTATCTAAGTCCAGCAGCAGCTGTTGCAGGTGTCCGTCCACGACATGAACAACTGCAGCATGACAACAAACAACAAAGGATCGGGCAATTCTTCATCCAGCCGCGTCTCTTTGTCATGAGGACCCTGTGGCGGTGCGCGTGTTCCATGCTGTCGCGATCTCGTGCGGATCCGGACAGCGAACTGCCACCGGTGTTTCTGAGCTGCAGGCACCCATAAACCCATTTTTCATCCGGATCTCTTTCAGAGCTGGATCTTCCTCCTGAACAGTTTCAAAAATGGGAATGCTCCTTAGCGCAACTGCAACAGCAGGCCTGCTCTTTTTGAGTCTTCCGGACACTTAATCGACGACCATGCTCTGTTGACTTGCCCGGCGGCTTTCCCCTGGGCAGGAGCTTTCCGAGCATACGTTTAGAATATTCCAGAATTTAGAAACCCCCTTGACTGCCAGTCACATCCTTATGCTTTGCCAGGTTGTTTCGTCGCTTTCTCCTCGCTGCTCCAAGATGCGAACTTGATACCTATAATTACATAAGGATATAAGGACACGAAGCCAAGTGAAAAGAATCGACCAAGACCAAAACGACGTCGCTTCAGATCGTGCTGGCCCGGTGGCTCGTGGCCATCTTGGACGGTGCCGGGGACAAGTGCCTCCTGGGTATCGGACTCTATTCAATGCACAAGGGCCGCAGATTACATGTCTGGGCATCGACTCAGGCATTATTCGAAGACTAGTGATTAGTTTCATCTCGCCGGTGCAGCGTCCTGTGGGTCTCCAGTGTAGCCACTCCCATGGTCAGGCATGACGCCCAGGAGTCCTGAGCTTCAATAAAGTCTCGCAGCCGCCAAGGACAGCCATGGTGATGGCATTGCTGGCTTCGTGATAGCCACCACGGTTAGCAATAACAGTATATCACACTGCTACTAGTCCGGCTGGTACTACTCATATCTCTGAAACGAAACAGTACTAGTACTAGAGTACCAACAGCACTAATTCCAGAACTATGCCAGGCATCAAGACTTACCACGACGACCGCGACCACCAGTACTACTTCTTCTACTACTTCTCCTACTTGCTACTGCTGCTACCACTACCACTACCACTGCCACTGCCACTACCCCTACCCTACCGCTACCAGTACCAGTACCAGTACCAGTACCAGTACCACTCACCACTCACCACTTACTACTTACCACTTGCCACTTACCACTACCACTATCACTACTGCTGCTGCTGCTACGACTGCAACTGCAGCTACTACTGCCACTGCCGCTGCCAATGGCACTGCCACTGCTACTGCTACTGCCTACTTCTGAACTGTATTACACCTGCTGCTGCTGCTTCTACTCCAACTCCCTGCTCTTGGTTCCCTTGGTACGACGCCCGTCGTTGAGCACACTCATCATCAACATCATCATGGTCATCATCACCATCGGGATGATTTCCATCAGCCTCTGCATCGTCATCAACATGATCATCGCCATTTGCAAGAGGTCCATGTGTGATGTACGGTTTTCAGTAGTGAGCTCGTCGAGGCGGATCCCTATGCAACGACGACCACCATCATCAACATGATCATCGCCATGATCATAGTCATCATCCTCACGACATCATTATGGCATTCATCCTCGTCACCACCGTCATCATCATAGGTGTCCTAGGTGTGGCTGCGCAAAAGAACGTTGTCATTCCATGCCCGCCCGCCCCGAAGAATTTGAGGAACCCAAAGCAATTGCCGAAAACACTGCCGGACATCATGGGACACGGCATGAGCGGCAGTGCATCCAGACAACGCACTGCAAATGCGGATATAATCGTAGGGTATTGCGTGCTCACCCAGATCTGGTGGGCAAGACCAATGCAGGTCCCAAACCGTGAACCCGTCTGCATTTTTCGCATAACACCCTAGACCATGCACGTCGTCATGATTCAGCCATGGATGATCTTGGGCTTCTCAGATTAGTTTTGTGGGGACCCACATTTGGAAAGTTAATCCGCCATCATGATTCTGTTCGATTTGTCGTGAGACCATTGCTATTACTATTACTGTTGCTACTAATGCTAACCTTATTCACAAGACTTTTCGGAGCCCGCCCCTGCTTTTTCGGAGGCTGCCCCTGGTCAGCGCAATATTCAGTACACTTTCATTCCCTTTGTTTCGATGCTTGCGCATGGGCTCAAGGCATACAGGGAAAATTCCATGTCTGACATGGGCGCTTCTGCCATGGCACGCCAATCTTTGTCTACAAGTGGGCTAGCCCCATACGTATGTGACGGCTGCTGCGTAAACGAAGCCTCAAGAAGAACGAATTAATGCGCTATGAGCAAGTTGAGTGGTTGCTTCTTCAGACCGCTTACTACTGCAATCTACCAGATTCGAAGTGAAATCTTGCTGTGACTGCTACAGTACTGTGTTGATTTGCACATGTCAATATCTCCTCACCCTCATGCTTGGTATTTTGGTTCTTACTTCATTCAACAAAGTGTGGCTACCTACTATGTTGCAGACGAGCAGCTGCTGCTGTCGGCTCTGACCGCCCATGTGCCGGCGGTGCCAGACTCGGTCGGCATCTGCTTGGCCGTGCTCGTCGGCCGAGGTGGCAGCTTAGATCCTGAAATTTAAGCAGCAGACGAGCGCTGCAACTAAAAGAAGCATGCCAGTGTGTTTCTTCATGCGCGAAAACTGTTAGCTGGATGGGCGAAGTGCCATCGCAGCGCGTGGCTCCCTTGCTTCAGGAACCTCTTGCATTACCCCTCTGCGGCACTCCTTCCGGTAGCATCTCGGCTGGAAGGTCATCCTGCACGTCGCTGCCAAAAGAGCTTGGTGGCAAGTTGTCGGACGAGAAGTTCCGATCACGAACCTGGACGCAAAAGTGGGAGTCAGACAGCCTTTCTCAGACTTGCGCCTCATCTACTATCTGACTCCATTTCGGTCAAGACACGTCCGCGTATGGCCTCTGTTGACCCTTAGTGGACTGGAGGTGGTTTCGCCGGGCTTGCTCGAATGCATACTTAGCTGCTTAGTTGGCCAGGCAAGAACTTACGGAAGCTTCTAGGCATGTCGAAGCCCCAGAAAGAAACAAATAGACCAGGCAGAAAAAGAGAGGATACTGATGGATAGATAGAAAAGATATAAAGAAAGAACAGATATGATGGATGGATGGGGTGGGTGGGTGGATGGATGGACGGATGGACACATGGACGGACAGACAGACAGTCAGACAGACAGATAGACTGGTTAGATAGATAGCCAGATAGACAAATAGAAGGATAGACGGATAAATGGACTGATGAAATAGAAGATAGCTCAGGTAGATACATCAAAGACAGACAGAGAGAGACAGAGACAGACGGAGAGAGACAGGGACAGCCAAGCCAGACAGACCAGACAGCCAGACAGACAGACAGACCGCGAGACCGACCGACAGACGGACCGACACACCGACAGACAAACAGATCGATCGGCAAGTAGGTAGGTCGCTAGCTAGCTAGCAAGCTAGGTATCTCAATGCCATAGACATGTTGAATTGCATGTTGTTTTCCTGCCGTCCGTTGCCGTATCTTCGCTTGTCTCGTGGTGTAAACCGACAAGAGGAGCAAGGCAGCCGCTGCCTACGGCAAAAGCCACACCTGATCTGCTGCCTCAGCTTCAACGGAGAAAATCGAATGAAGCAATAACTGGCAAGTGGTCGGACGGATGCCATGAGTTGGGCAATGTCTCCCAAGGAGGTCCAAAAATCCTTTGCAGCTCTGCCTTGCTGAGCATTTCCTGTACGCCCCGAAGTTTAAGCGATTTCGGTGTAAAGTAGACGTAATCAAAACGCAGCTCGCACGGGCCGTCTTCGGGCTTTGCCAAGCCGTGGCCTAGGAGCTCACGCAAATCGTGCTCAACCCCCCAGAACTTCCCTTCTGCCAGCTCGGATGCATAAAGTGCATGGAAGTCCTCGCGGCTAAGCGAGCGCTGTCCGCGCTTCTCGAAAACTGCCTCCACGAAGCGATGCTCACTGCCTCTGCCCAGCTCGCGGTTGATTCTGGTGAGAAACTGCGCTGTCTCTTCAGCCGTCATCTCGCTGCCAGACCGACATGCATCGAAGGCCGCATCCAATGCCTTGCTCATTGACTCGGTAAGCGATCCATCGGGACTCACCATTTTATCATCAATATTCTGGGCCAGTATCGTCGCCGGCGCACGCCCAGAAAATGCCACGTCGGCAGCATCTTGGAAGGTGGGGAGGCCGTGCTTTCGGATCTTGGAAGTAATCTGCTTGCCTTCTTGGCCCTTTTCTGTCGGATCGCCTGACTCCCGAAAGTCAGGGTTCACAATGCCATTCACCAGAAGCTCTCGAACAGCTGTGCTTCCCTGAGAGTTGAAGTCCCCACAAACGAGGACTGCAAACTCGTCCGGTGCTTTGCTCATCCTTTTCGCCTCCTTCTCAACAGTCTCTAGGGCTTCATGCACCTGCCGCAGCCTGCGGTCAGCGCTGGGCCCTGCACTGAGATGCACATTCACGACGAAGAGAAGTAGCGTTGGATTCTGCAGCCCCACGATGAGGGTGCGGTCTTTGTGCTGAGCAGCTACTTGCTTCCAGCTTGATTTCCAGGCAGTGGCCGGCCTCATCCTGCCTTTTTTCTCATGCATGAGCACCGTATACCCCTGCTCGCTCAGGAAGCGGAAGTCCTCGTCGAAGGAGAGTTCAGAGACTTCTTGCAAACATAGCACATCAGGCTGGACGCTCGCAATCTGCTGAGCCAACAAGGCCTGACGCTCAGCCCAAGAGGTGTGCGAGCCATGCGAGTCTTTGTAGTACTTGTAAATCCACCAACCATCCTTGCTGTTCGGGAGCAAAACATTGTAGCTCATGCAGCTGAAGCCATCGAGGCGTCCTCGGCCTTTCCCTTCAGCTCCCGCAGGAGACGGATGGCTGGGCGACGGTGTCAGCAGGCATGGGGACGCCTTACAGGTGGGCAAGCCACAGGCCACGAGGTGCTCCAAGCCCAGGCCCTGCATGTCCCCGTCGCAAGGAAGCTACCAAGCTACGAGTATCGTTCGAAACGTGCAAGCCAAAGAGCACAGGCGGCGCGCATGGACGCTTCAAGGTTACACTACGCACTATACTCAATGTCAAGCACACCTACGAAAGCAGGACTAAAACACACAAAGTCTCCAAGGACTTTGGCTTGGGCACGGGAGAAGCTCGGTTCTCGTGTCCCTCAACACCACCAAGGAAATGCCGAGGTGCAGGAACCTTCAACAACTCGCGCATCTTTACCTCCTGCTTGTGAAACCTGAGAGAGCAGTGCAGGGCGGCACCTCCGAATCGGCTGTTTTGTCGAGTGGCAGAGAAGAGAGGTCTTCGCGGAGCAGCTCGTGCAGCTTCCGCAGGTCCTCTGCTAAAAACTCTTCTCGATCTGACTGCTCTTGAAGGTCCCGCAAACGCGGGGGCATGGCACGGCTGCGTAGGCATAGCACTAATTGACGACGCTTGCAGACACGATCCAGACAAAGACAGTTCGGTAACTTCCGAAGGCTGCAGCAACGTCCTGTGGCAGAGCATCGTCGGGTCCAAAGCGCTTCATGTTGTTTTTCAGGTGAGACAACCGAACTCTCTAGAATCGAAGGGTATAGCTCAACGCTGTGCTCATGCCCGGAGGCTTCGGCCAAACAAGCTTTCCAAGCTTGCCCATGCATTTTGAGTAGTCCTGCACCCATGCTGCGGCTGGATCGAACAACTGATGTTCTAATCCAAATGGCGGCAGGATGATCCACGTCGGACAAAAAGGGGCGCATCACGAAACCCTCAGTCTGGCAAATGAGGGATCCCTGTCCCCCCGGCAATGTGCAAACACTTTCATGCCGAGCCTCACGAAGAATCAGCTTGCCTGTGCCTGGCATATGATATGTCCAAGCTTTGTACACACACAAACAAACAAAAAGCCATGTGCTGCACTAGGGCTGCTGAGCACCAATAATTCCAAGGATAACTGCCCATCATAGTCCGGTAATGGTACACTGCAACTATGCCCTCCCTTCCTAGGCTGCTGCACAAACAGATTCATCCTCTGCGGGCACACAGCATTTTGCCTTCACCGCCCTGCGCTTAACTTTGAGCTGGTTCTCGTGCACCAAACTCTGGCGAAAAGAGTGTGAAGTAGGGATTGTTCTTGCTCACCTCCTCGATAATCGCATATAGATGCAAACTACAATTCCGATAAGGGGTGCTATATACAGTCTTCAAAACGCAAATGTAACCCCTGCTTCACGTACGGTGAAGGTGACAGCGTGAGTCTTTCTGTGGCCAGCGATTTTGCCACCCACGTTCTGTACAGACACACGCTCTGACGTCCTCTTGTTTCGAGGTTCTGCATCGAACGCACGCTCCTGTGTCTCTGATGGGAAAGAAGGGAACAAAACTCGGTCAGGAGGCCAATTGAGCTTTGCTGTTGCTCTGCTCCAAACTTACGTGTTGCGGCACCGGCAATCTGCTCTCCGCCTGTCTCTTTTGCTGGAATCTTGCGGCCAGGGCTTTGGATTCCTTTGATCTGAAAAACAGGTTTCAAGTCGCGGCCCATTGAATTCACAAGTCCTGTGCTGTACCGCACCATGCACTCCAAAACCCTGTGGAGGGAGGCATTGCAATTGGCAACATCCTCGGTATGCGAGAGCGAGGGCTCTCGCATGATACTAAATTGTCTCACACGGACGGCCAGTCCAATGCAAGATCCTGCTTACTCTCGTAAGCACATGGGAATCACATGGGAGCTTCCAAAAAGTTCGGGCTAATATACACTCTTGATCGCGGATTACAAGGAGCCGTTGAGGGACACCCTCGCTTCCAGAAACCCCCACATTAAAAGGCTGGAACATGGGTTTAAGCACCCTCTGCTCTAGCCGGTGGCCTGTGGCCCGAACTTGCAACAGGTTCCTACTGCTGCAAGGGCTAAGGGCTGGAAATAGCCTCACGGGATCTGCTCTGCAGACGAGCTCCTAAGTGGAATGTCGCTATCCTGAAGCATTCCCTTCGCAACGAGCACTACGCGACTCCGACAGCGAAAACCTGGAGTCTCGACTAAAACCTCAGAACTCTCAGCTCTCGAAATCCTCGCCGAGGCTCGGAGATGGCCACTGACTCCACTGTGGCGAAGGTGCCACAAGCCGGTCCTGAACTCCGTCAGACACTGATTCTCAGATTTGCGACAGCAGACACCGTGTAGCACAAGAAGCCAATCAGTTGCTGGCAAAGCCACCTGGCACTCGAATACTCTGGGATCCAGTTGGAATGCATCCTCAAACCCTGCCAAGCATGTTGCATGTTGCTACGAATTCAGGTGTTCCCCGGATGCCGTTGCAAGGCTACTTGTGCGATGTGCAAATTGCTCGCGTCCATACAGCTCCCGATTTGCGTTGCAACCTCTCCAGCCGATCTCCAACGCCTGGGCACTGCAAGTACCACAGCACCCGCTTGGCAGTGTCGGTCTGCGCATCTTCGGCCGTGCCTTGGAAAGGTGTGCGGGGGGGACGGGCATTTTTGCGCCCTGGGCAGTGTTGGCTACATTTCATCCTGTCACTCCAAGGTTCCACAAAGCTGTCCCGCGAAGGTGTGCGGGACACCCAGAAGCTGCAGATGCACAAGGGCTCTATATCCTGCGGTAGGCCCGGAAGATGCGCCTGGCCACATCCCCGGCGCAAACCCCAACTCAACTCATTGTTGCTACTTCGCGATTTCTTCTTTTCTTCACACTTTCGGCGAGCTCGGAGCTCTCCGAGTTTGCGGGCCTGGCTCGGCATGGTTTCTCACGACTTCCACGCTCCAAGCTGGTGTCGTTTCGCAAGGCTCGTAGCTCTGAAGGAACTGGCCTCAGCTTCACAAGCACAAGGCCACAAGGCCACAAGGCTCCGGCTCGGCCTCAACAGTCCGAGTAGCTCAATACGGCATCAGATCTAACCTGGAAGGCTCTGCTTCCGTGTCCGGCTTCGAGAACTTGCTGACGCAAATGCGAACTCCACGCGCCGATGAAGAACTTCAAGCAAACGTCCGCCAACTGCCGCTGGGCATTCTTCTTGGAGCTATCCCACGCGCCGATGGCATGATGCGGTATGCCATCAAGCAAGAAGGCAACGCGAGCCCGGAAGCGAGACTTCCTTGTTTTCGTGAGTTTGACATCGTAGCCCCACTGGAGAGCAGGCATGCCCTGAGGAATACGGAAGCCTCAGCCATGCGATGGCGGACAACGCAACCCATGTAGACACAGAGCCATCGGATTCTTTCAAAGTAGCTTGGGGATGTCTGTACGTACTCCTGCAACAACGTGAGGACACCCTTCTCTTCATCTTCGGCTGCAGAACGGGCATCTGACCCATATGGCTTCACCTGGCTCTTGAGGCACTCCGTGAACCGGTTCAGTCATGATTCAAAGGAAAACTTGAGAGCAGTAGGTCCGGAGCCCGCCTCCCCCTTGAGACTTGGTCGCGGCAATTCGGGCCGTGCCAAGGACAGGAGCAGGCAGCCCTGTGCAGAGGCCATTGTCACACAGTGGATGCTGTGAGCCGACTGAGCCGACAGGGTTTGGAGCTCATGGTTCCTAGCTCCGCAAACTGGTTGCACCAAAAGCAGAAGCGACTGGAACAAGTGGAAAAGTCAGCTGCCTCTTGCCGTTGTGCACTAGAGTCACTACAGGTCATGTGCATTTCTCGTGCCTGAGGTCGCAGTACCACCTTGGAAAGGTTCGTGTGGAAGCGTTGCAGAAACGACACCTCAGCCAAGTTGCCGTCAACAAGGTCTGCAGTCGCAGAGTGCCGAGTGCTTGCATGCTGGATCAATGCAAATGGGCATGACAACCGGTCGCACCAGTTGCTGAAAACTGCAGTATGGCACAGTTCGTCTTGTGCGATCACGCTGTGTTTGAAGCAAATGGCCTGTACGCCTTAGCACCGGGCTGTGTCTTTGACCTCGCCCAAGACTTTCTCCCTGCCTGTGATCTCCTGGTCCAGCCTGGAGGCGGGAAACATCATGAGATCAACGACCTTCAGTAGAACCCTTACGAGAAACCAACGCAACCCAAATCAAGAATGTAAAGTCAAAGGAAAGCAACCCCTGAAGCATCGCGCAAGAATGGAATCGGGGAACAAACTGAAACCTGAAATCACAACAACCCTGAAAGGTCCTCAGAACCCCGAAGCACACACGCACACAGATCTAAACCTAGTCCCGCCCGAGGAAGAACCAGAATCCTAGACAAAAACAGCTCAACAAAAAAACACTTCCCCAACCTGCCCTCTCACGAATGACGTCTCTTGCGGCGAATTGGAAGTTGCTGGAGGCGGCATTGTAAGGGTTCAGGTGCGGGGATGATTTTACAAGGGTCAAACTCGCACAGATCGCAACAGCAGGATGCTATCCAAGAGAGGTGAACTTCCGAACCATTCGCAAAACCTCAACCAACAACTGCCAGCATCAAAACCAGTGGACACCAACATCTACAACAGCCCTGAACATTCCTGAAAAACCTTTTTCTTCCCCTGCAGCTCCCGGTCTCACGTCAATCTCGGCATCGTCACAAGCCTTCGGCAAAGTCGTCGAAACATTTGCCACTTGGAAGCGTCCGTCTGCCACAGACCCACCAGAATAAGAGTGTCCAGCAAAGGACACGATACTCGGCAATCTCATGAGGCTGTAAGTTCAAAACCTCACCACTGTACGTCGACCCATCCGGGCACATAACTTCTGCCACACGAGCCCCTGCTTGTCAAGAATGCCCACTACTTGGGCCATGGTGCACATGCCATGAAAGGTGTGCTCGGACCGTCCAGTTTTTGTTCACTGCTGCCGTGCGTCGGGTCAAGGTTGCCAGCATGATCATGGCTATTCCGTAGACATCGGTCTCCTTGCGAATAATGGAAGACAGGATGCAGGACGGCTCACAGCACCCAGGAGTGCCACCTCTGTGGCATTCCACCTCGACTTGGCCGCACTGTAGCATTACGGAGCTGCCGAAATCCGCTAGTCTGGCCTTCCCCTGCCCATCCAAGAGAATGTTAGTGGACTTCACGTCTGCATGAATGATGTTAGGTTCAGTGCCATGCAAATGCTCGAACGCTCGTGGGTGCCACGAAGCACGTCGCAGTGCGACGTCCAGAAAGCACGGTCACTGCCCATGCGCGAGAACACGGTGCCACCAGTGTAGTAACGTAGCGGCAAGCGACGCAATTGTCAGGCCAGTTAACCAACTCAACAATGTTGGGATGATGAGCCGCTCGGCATTGGATGGCGCGAAGAACTGTCAGCTCATTCTCGAAGTCCACCTTCCTCTCGAAAATGTTGTACGCTATTCCATCTAGGTGGGACCCCGTTGCTTCACCTCCTTGTGAAATAGATTCTGCTCTGCTTAATGTGTGCTGTACATCGAGGGTGTTGACTGCAAGTGCACGCTCGATCCAACGGTTTGCTCGGCATGCTAATGACGTGGGACCTTTTCCCATGTCTCCGAGACATGCAAGCAGGCCAGATCCTGTTCCACATGCCCCCGGGCCCAGGAAGTCAGCCGCGGTAGCTGGCTTCTGGGAAGCAGATTCTTCAGGAGCAGCAATCTTTGACCATTCCTGTTGAAGCCAGCTGAAAACAATGACCAGTGAACTGAACACATGGCTCGGCGTTCCGAATTGCAAGCTACAGCACAAAGTCACCATGCGGTCAGACATATGGAGTTGGTAGTTTAAACTGCAATTGCCGTTAACTTGCAGCTTCTGGCGTGCTTGCGAAATGACCCTGTTGTCACTGTAGTCCTCGAGCTGTATCGAGCCAAAAACGCGGCTTGCAGTCCTTGTCGGCACTGTTGCCGTCGCAGCCGCTGCAATGGTCGAAGAGCGTGGTGTTGCCAAACAGAAAGGGTCACTTTCAGCTCTATGCTGCGATGTTTGCTTCTTGCTCTGTGCCGGCCCTCTCGTGCCACCCAAATAGTGGTGTTTTTGAACTATTGGTCTTCCTACCGTGGCTATATTATTGGGCCAAGGGAGTAACAGTGGTGATAGTTGATAGAAGGCAAAGGACATGTGAACCCGTTATCTTTTCTTGCTGCTGGGCAATCCTAAACTAGGTCAGGCTCTATGTGGTCTCTCATTCTGTAGCCTCCACACTTTGCGCGGTCTACGCGCTTGGTACGAGATGGTCACTCTTGCGGCTCTGAGGACCGGGTCTCGGACTCTGTTGTCTTGTCATCTCGGACAGCTCGTTTCTCTGGCCTCAGATATGGCTAACACTAATTACTCCTTTAACGGAAGGCCTGGTATCAAACATACGCAGTAGTAGTTAGACCTACAAGGCTTCGTAAATACATCCAGTCCGGCATTGAACTGAACTTCTATTAAAAGTTAGCAATGATTTGCAGTGGGATGAAGATGTCTGTGCTGGCTCATCGCAGCCTGTAGCGATCTGGGCGCCGATCTGCTGCGAGTCTCCACATGAAAAGACGGCGATTCCATCGTCTGTGATGTCCCGCCTCAAGTCAACGGCCCAACATGCGCCCAAGACATTATGCTCGAAGCCATTCCTCTTGTGGCCCATTTTTGGCTCGCAGCCAAGCAGGCGACAAAACGTTAACAAAGCTTGAAAGTAAAACCTGGCATGCAAAAGCCGCACGATCTAACACACACACACACACACACACACACACACACACACGTATTCCGGATTCACCTGCGAGTCCTTCTTTGAGTGCCAACCGCTTTTGTTCGCTCCCATCTGCACAGCCTTCTGAGGAACGTGCTTTTGGATTGCGTTCACGATCGCGACTACGACACCGATGATTAGCACAGCACCTGCACATCGCGGCTCACATTTGGTGAAGACTGCTCTCGCATGAAGCATGGCTGCAACAACTGAAGTGAGCGGCTGTGCACGATTCGGTAACATACGTCACGAGTCTGTCAACATATTGCCGGGGCGATATGGCTGGCTGGCGCGCTTGCTATGTTCTGCGCGGTGTTAATCTCAATGCCATTGCTCCTGCAACTGTGGAATCAGCAGGCTGAGAAGACGGTGCGACTGTGAAACTTGTCCATCGCGGCTCGAAGACTCTTTAACACCACATTTGATGCAGCACCTGGAGAGGTGCAATAGCAACGTTTTGGCCCAGGTCTCTGCAGTTCAGACATATGTCCTTCTGAAGAAGGCCAGACATTGCGTAGTTGCTTCCTGAGAACAAGTCAACTGGTGGGCGCCTCTGCACAGACCCAATGAGGCACCTCGATGAATGCAAGCTGAGCAGCATCTAATGTCACATACTTCGGGCTTGTCATACCGCAGTTGACAATGTAGGGCCTGCGGGCTCACAACATTAATTGAGCTTTGCAGAGACTTGTCCTGTACCTGTTGGCAGCAACTGGCAGCAACCCGATCGCCACCCAAACTTGCAGATTACAGTCATGGTATCTAGCAGCCTGTCGCTTCCAAAGAAGCTCCCATCACCCATCGGCGGAAGAACCAGGATGACGTAGCAAAAGCCTGCACTCAGGATCGATTGGGGCAGCAGAGCAAAGCGAAATCGCTGGCCCTGGATGGCCTGCGACAAGGGAGGCCATGTGTGCAACAGTGCCCACTGTATCCTTGCCAGAACCACAAACGCTCTGGACCTCGGAAATGTGTATTCTGGGGGTGTTGCTGGTATGTGGCTTCGACAACTACAGGAGACAGATGTTGAGATCACCTTGCTATGTTTGGCACTGCGTGCAATCTGAGCATGTGGCAATGTCAATAATGATGTGAAATGCGATGATTCCGATGCCTGGCAGGATGAGGCTGCCGCACTTGACACACGACAGAGACCGCCGTTCTCTTGTCTGCAGATGGTCTTTGACGCAGGCCGGGCCCACGCATCCAAAAGAAAGCACCGAACTCCGGAATCTTCAACTTCTGATCTAACCTCGGGTTGTTCTGGAAAACTGCAACAAGGGAATTTAAGGCACATCTCATATCCAGATCGGTACGAGCTTTTCAGCTCCAGTGGTGTTTGGGGGATGTCCCTTGGCCCGATCCCCACGAGCCCCGGGCCCAGCACCGAGGAAGACGCCATACAGCGCGATGAGCGCTCCGTCCACGCCGAAGCAAACTGAACTCGCCTGAGTCTGAGCGTCGAGCAACTGGAGCAATGATTAAAAACTGAGTGCAAGCGCGACACGCCCTGGACCAGGGCGCCGAAGTTCTTCATCGTGCCCACCCTGAAAAGCGTATTGCCACTGCCCCGGACTCCCTTAACTTCCCTTCTCTCTGCACCAGAAAGGGCGAATTCCTGTGGCCGCGGCAACGCACCAAACGCAAGCACCGTGGCCATGATACCCACCACCTAGGACTACTACGGCTTGAAGCGAACCGTGGACGAGGCAGTTGTAAGGCAGCGGCATTGTTCCAGCCGATCCCGACCTGGTCGGAAGAATGTGCAAGCGGCTAGAGTAGTTACTGTAGTCACCTGAACTCTTAAACGCCACTCCAGTCCAGTGTACGATAGCCTAACACGAAATCCGTTTTTTGGCTTCCCGGCATCGGGATAACAGATCGTGGCCACGGGGCCATCACGGGTGCACTTGAGCGGTACTCCTGGACCTGAGTGAAAGCAGGAGCTGGAGACGTGCATACCCATGCGTACTCGGAACTCGCGTCAAGCGAAGCCGGACATGAACAGAGCTCCGAGCTGACTTCAAGATCTGGCACCCCTTCAAGATCCAGGGCATCCATCAGGTGGAACAGGTTCACGCACAGATGCTGGCGAGGGCGGCTGATATTGGGCGTTCGTTGAGGTTTGTGGGAGTCGAGGGATTGAAACTGCTGTGATCTGCAGCAGGAGCAAGAGACCCATGTAGAAGCAGGTGAGTTTCCTATTTCCTATGCGCCTGTAGAACATATGCACGGCTCTGGAAAGCTCGTTGTAAGATCCCTTTCCTGGGCTCTGGTCAGACATGCCGACAGAGTCGACAGGGACTTCAGGTGAGAAAATTCCCAGATATCCCCAGTTGAAGGCTTGCGGGAAGCCAGAAATCAAACAGCACTTGCAGTAGCGGCCTGCAGATCTGAATGCAGCATGAAGTAGGTGAAGAAGCGCCTGGGGTTGAAGACACGATGCAGGGGGCCAATACTCTTTAGATCTTTCGACTTCTTTGGGCCTAAAGCCTGAGTCACTGGCCAGAACTCACCCTTCTTCATACACGGCGCATAGAAGGAGAAGAACCGGTCCAGGCGAAGGAAGGGTGCGAAGACCTGCAGAAGGTACCTCAGAGCGCTGCAGGGGGAGATTTTGTTGAGGGCAGCAACTCCATGGCGCGCAGTGCTCGCCAACAACGAACAAGTCCACCTTCAAATCAGACGTAGCTAGAACGAGATTGGGGCTCTTGCCCGACGATGCAAAGAGCCGAAAAGATGGTCAATGCCCTGTCGCCGTTGCACACCTCAGCCAATGAACATGTCTGCTTGTAGAGTTGGGTGCCGCATTAGGTTTGTTCGGAAACCACAGTCGTCCTAGCTGCCACTGCAGCCCCCAGACAGAACGGCCTCAGTTCCCAGCCTGCCAGAAAGAGTTTGGCCAATCCATAAAGGACCAAAGCAGCGGCAGCATCCAGAACATGGCTCTCTGACCTGCAGTTTAGGCCGCTAGGAATCCTTTTCTGGCTCCAGCGCGCACTCCCGGTCTCTCACTGGGGAGCCGGCCGCTGTCCATGCCCATGGCCCTGCCTTCCCCGACCGGAGCGCAGGTCCAGCACTTCTCTCCGTTCTTCGTCCTAGGAATTGGGCAGGATTGGAGTTGCGATCTGTTCCAGCTCCCCAAATTCATATGAGACCAGCCGCCGCATGACGCGCTTGGTGTCGGCCGGGTCTTCGCACTTGCAGGACCTGAGCGCAGCTTTGCTCCTCGAAGCCGGGCCCAGGCCCTGCAGTTAAACTTCTGGGCTCAGCTGCCGCTTCAGAGAGCAACGACCCATCTGCGTAGGGCAGTAGGTGGAGTTGCCAGACTCTGCCACACCAGTGCTGGCACGCTTCTTCTCACAGGCCCAGCCTCGCCCGCAGTCTATGATGCAGAACACACGAACATCAATTTCTTGGCCTCGGGCACTTCGTGCCATCGCCTGTCATAAGCGTCTTCTTGGCCCATTCCATGTCCGGATCACGGGACCTCGAGCGTCGGCCACAGTGAAGGCACTAGCCGGGCTCAGATGCCAACTCGTGGGAAACAACCCTGACATGCTTAGCAGAGCACGTGGGGCACATGCAAGGCTCTGGTGTGCAAATGCCCACCTGTGGCAGCAGACTCCCAACCCGCCCGAGGCGGGAGGTATCCCATGACCGTCTGCTTCAATCCGAGATTCTTGTGTGGTACACATGGTCGGGTAGCACTTGCAAATCTTGAGGTCCATCCTCAACATCATCAAGGGGCAGAAACCACACTCCTGCAAACCATTATCACTTGCTCAGGCTATTCTCATCTTAGCACAGTCTGATCATGGCTAAGTTACATGTGCAGACCACGAGACATGGGCGACCACCATGCCACGATCTCTAGGCACTCTCGGGCGCCGGCGGCATGGGATCACCGAACAGGGCAGCTGAGCAGTTCACGCTGCCGTCGACCACGAGGTCGCCGGACCAGGAAAAAAGGCCTCAAGATCTCTGTGACTCCTTCACATGCGTCTCCTGTATGGTGCCGGATGGGTCTCAGACGTCCGTAGCGCACTTTGCCAAAGCACTTGCAAAGGTCTCCCTCTTTGCCACAAAATCGGCCATCCTTTTCATCCTAGGTGCCGATTTGCCGGTGCGATCGCTGTGGCCGACGTGAAGCGAGCCGAGGCCCTGACCAAAGACAAGAAGGCCTGTGTGGACGGGCTACTTGCTGAGCCACCTGCATGCGAAAGCTTCTGCTTGCAATACCTCTCAGCATGGCAGGGAGGGCACAGGCCTGCAGCTACCAAAGGGTATTCCTGCTCCTCATCCAGCTCACTGCTTCCTTGCGGCCCAAAACAAACAAAGCGAGTTTGGTGCAGGAGGAAAGACTCACCACGTAGCGATCCTGCATAATCCTGCGGCTACAATACCAAGGCCCAACGAGAGGCTGCTACTTGTAGAAATTTGTTGCGCATGACCTTGCTCCGTTCCCGAGTCCCACAGCCTTCCGTTTCGAGCTCAAGCTCTTCGGCAGCTTCCCTCGCTCGCCGTCTGTCTGCGCGGCTAGGGCTGTTGACAGCCACGGCAACGACCTGAGCTCAAGTCTCCAACTCTAGACGAACTACGTGATTCTTGTCATCAACGATGCCATCAGTCAAGACTGAACCACCTACCCGGACCTACGCAAGACTCGAAGGCTAATTTCAGTCTGTCAGGCTATTCGCAAGCTCAGGGTATTACAATGGCTCTCCACTCCAAGCAGCGTGCAGAGAACAGGTACAGCAGGGCATGCAAGCCACTAGTTTCCGGAAGGGCAACAGATGTACAGCAGATATAAAAAAAAACACCAAGAAGACATCGGAGTGAAGAGCTAAGTCTGGAGTAACTTGTCTTGAACATGCTTTCACAGCAGCAGCACTTCTTGCCTCGTACTCTCCATGACTCTGCACCTTGCCGAGGCCCGGTCAGCTGCGCAGCATGCCGCTACCAAAAGGCGTCCTGCAGATTCAGACAACTCTTCCTTCAAGCATGGCTTTCGTTTTGCAGGTAGCTTGGTTCCAGATGCACGTGATGCAAAACAAGCCGTCGTGACGGTAATTCGGCAGAATTCGCAGACATTGCGATACTCACTGAAAGCCGGGTTCGTGCTCGTCTCGCCTGCTGCGCCGCTGTGGCGCCGCACTTGTCGGCCCCGTGCACCTCCCAAGCACGCCAGACACCGCGGGAAAAGAGCCGAAAGAGAGGGCAAGAGACACGTATGTGCGTGTGTGTGTGTGAGAGATCTGTAGGAGCAGGCACATCTTGTCCCATAGGAACTGCTGGACTGGTCCTTCTCTGGCGCACAGTTGCTGCATTTTTGTTCCCTCTCGCATGGCTGGCAACTATGTCCACAAGCGAGGAAATTTGGGGCATATCGGAGCTTGCAATCATGGCCATTACAGCACTTCATTCTCACGGCCTTTACGGCGCTTCATTCTTGTGACGTTTTAAACCACACAATCTTTTTTGTTTCCTGGGCTGCGCAATCCTAGTCTTCAGACTGCTTTGCCGCAACAGAAATGCTAGCAAGTCTATACAATTCACCTCCTGTCTTTGCCCATGCATACGTCATCTGCAAACGGACAGTTGGGGCAACATTGCCGTCAAAACAGATTGCTTATGGAGACTTGATGCTTTCGGCATGTTTCGACATTACAAGTCCAGAAGAAGCTTTGACCTGAGAAGATGAGCTCCAGTCGAGAACGTCTGTCTTCTGAGAAGCCGCGAAAAAATGAATAAAGTCGTCGGCCCCCCTTCATAGTTGGCCAAAAACCAGGATCATGAGGATGTTTTGAGACTTCGTCCAAATCCAAAACGACAAGCCCCCCCCCCCCCCCCAAATAATCTTCCGAAATCCAAGACTTTACGCCCCCTTTTCTCTAAAACACACAAGGGAGAAAGAGTTCTGAAATTCTTTAGTCTCTTTTGTGCGATGTGCTCCCTGTTTCCAAATTCTCTACTCTCTTTCGAGCGGTTTGCCCCCTGTTCTCAAATTCCCTATAATCTGAAATGCTCTAGTCTCTTTCGCTTGGTTTGCTCCATGTCCTCGACATCCGAGTCCGGTTCGATGGGCCGGGACCCCTCCTTTCATAATCCTAGAAATCCGAGGAGTCTGAGGGTGGGCGCGAGCCGGGATCGCCGGGAAACGTTTTCTCCAGGAAACAGCCATACGAAAACGTTTCAGGGTGGTTAAAAGCGAAGAAAATAAAAATTGAATCATGAGTGATTTGGAAGCTCTGCAAATCGGGGCGCTGCGCCCCTTCAACCTCCCGGTTGGTTTAGACTGAAGACTCCCCGCTCAAAAAGTAAACCCCCCCGCCCCCCCTAAGACTACAAGCCCCCCCCCCCCCGCCACATAAACAGGATTACGAGCCCCCCCCCCCCCTTCATACTTCGTCGAAATCCAAGACTAAGAACCCCCCCCCACTTCCTTTGACAGTTTCCCTAAATCCAAGACTACGAGCCCGCCCCCCCTTCATACTTCGTCGAAATCTAAGACTACGAGCGCCCCCGCCGTTATAGTCTTAATCCTAAATCCGGGACTACAAGCCCCCCCTGGTCTGGCAAATCGTCAAAGCTGGCCAACAGTACTGACTTCATGTTGGTGGCTTCCACATGCAGCACAGACAATCCCTCGTTCGCGTTGGCGTGTGCAGATGAGGCGGTTCAGCAGCAGGCCTTGTTGTCTGCTTCCACGCTGATCGTGTAGAGCCTTCATCTGAAAGCTCTTCTGTGGGCAACCTTCTCCAGACGACAAGGTCACGCCGCGGCTTGTGAGCCTCTAGCCTTGCCACTGCAGTCCTTTCTGGAACCCTGTTCCGTCCCGGCGTGCCTCACAGCACCACGCCAGTGCAGCCGGCTAAGGAGGCCGACGTCGCACAAGCTGCCGCGCCCCGACCCACAAAAAAACGCTGGAGCCAAGTGCACGCGGCACACACTTCTGCATGATCAACCGGAGGTCGCACGCAGAAGGTTTGTATGGTCTCTGGATGTATTTGGATGTGAGTTTTCTGTACACATCCGCTGGAACCGGTACAGAGGATATATCCCCGCAGTGGTATCCCCCAAGTACGTGCGCTTGCAAAATTTCGGCCAGGCATGGCACTACTGTGAGCTGTTGGGCATTCAGGCTGGAATCTGGAACCAAAGCCGTGCGAGCTGCACGAGCTGAGCCGATAATAAATCAAAGACGCAGGCAGCTAAAGGCCTAAAGGTAGCAGTCTCGCGGTTTCAAGTGGGTATATGAAACATTATGAAACCATGTGAGTGAAGTTTTGGAAGGGGAGTAAATTCAAAGCAGAACTCAGAACTGGCGCCTCTTTCCAGCATGTCCCTGCAGGCTTGCCGAATTATTCTAGCTACGAGGCTGGTCTGGCTCCTCCTCTGAAAGTGTTGAAGCCTGACTCTCAGGGGATGTGCAGACGAGCACCCGGATCTCTTCTAATCCATGTCACGAAATCAACCAACATGAGCCAAGGTGCCAGTTGGTAGAGCCATACTGCGAAGAGCAAAAGGCATCCCAGGAGACCCTCGGAAGAATCGCACACTCTTCGTTCAGGTCTTCTAAGCTCTCGTTTCCAGGCCTGCGGTCCGAGCGCTTCTCCGAGGAAGAGGTATGCGAAGAAAGCGCCCCAGAGCCTTTCAACTTTCTCTGTCTGGGGCCGTTCTGTGGCTGAGATTTTAGGTTCAACTGTCCCCTTTGGCCAAGGCACGGGTCCAGTGCATAGATGGCAGATGCCGTTGTGGCCGGCACGCTTTGCTGACCTATGGTCTGAAGCCAGTTCGTGAATGCCGTGGTCAGCACCCCAAGATAGAGCACCGACAACCTGAGTCATTGTTGGGATATTTCCCTAGGTAGGCCCTAGGTGGTCGTTAACAGATCATACCAGCGTAGGAGCATGCGCTCGGCTGTCCATTGCAGCTGAGTGGCGGTTGGTTGGCGAGCAGATCCCAACAGCGCCCTGCGACGCTGGTCACTGCCGAGGCAGCAAGGCCATCTACGGGCCCGCCAAGCACCTGCAGTTCCAGAGATGATGTGCTGCAAGCGACATCGTAACGGCAAGCATCTAGAATAACCCTGGGCTGATAGCTGTAGCATGAATAACACGTCTTTGACTTTTCGTGTGCAGTTGAGGCCCGTGGTCCGAATTTAAGCCTCGATGCCAGGCCTCTGCTGGTGCGCTTCCGCAAGCTACCAGAAGTGCCCATGGAATACAAAGCAATGCAACCTTGCAATCGTTCAAGCAGCCGGGGTGGCGGGATGAGAATTCACTCACTGTTTGCATGGCAAGCCAAACCGAAAAGCAGAGCTCATGCAGCCGCAGAATGTTATTCACTCAGTGCGCTGCAGACAGCGTGCTGACTGCGTTGATAGCCTTGTCGTCCGTAACGGGCGCAAACGTTTCCAGCCGTAAGATAAACATTGCCTGGTCATCAACTCTTCGCATGCTGGCGCTTGCAGCTCTTTTTGGAATGGGCTATGACTAATCCCTCGTTCCCCGGCATTGTGCCACCATGCTTTACTCGTGCTTTCATGGGAGCCGTCTGGCAGTTTGTCCGTCGACAGTTTACGAAGGTAAGTCTTGATGCGCTGTGCTCCGCCGTTCCCGAACAGACATTCTCTAGTACATGCTGCTAGGGTCTGCAGCAAAGCGATTTCTGAAACGTGAGAGAGTTGTCGCCGCCACATCCCTATTGCACTCGATCTTGCCAGTAACATGCCAGACAGCTGCTCGAACTTCGAACCGACCGACCTGGACGATTCTGTGTTTAAGCCAAAATGCCGAAGCTGCCGCTGCGAGCAAGCTGAGCAGATCTCCGACATTGGGGTCGACCCCAGCAGCATCATCCATGGCGACCAACAAGGTCCCTAGGAATGCTGCGAGCGCCGACAGCCAGGCTGAAAGGGGTACTGCCCGGCCAAAGATGGACCAGGCAAAGAAAGGGACCAGCTTCACATTGAGGTACAGCAGGAGGCCGCTGCGTTGCGCCGTGGTATATAGAAGCCCCGCTGCCTGTAAGCAAAAGCCCAAAAACAGCCAAAAGCCTAACTCCGCACCGGCTCGCCACTCAAGCCGGGCTCGTACACCTTGACGCTCCGGGCGAGCAACCGGCAGCCAGGGTGAGAAGCAAAGTCCAGCCAAGCCAAAACGAACCAGATTCAAAGACGCAGCCTGAAGACTGTCATTGGCACCCTGCTGCAATGTGTACTTGATGATGGAGTGCTGCGAACCCCACAAGACTGTGACCACCCCCAATAAAACGATTGCAGCGGACTTAGTGACTCTTGATCTTCGTCCACCAATGCTCCTTTCACTGTCCGTGAGTCGCCAGAAGTCAGCAGTGCTCTCTGGAATACTACCTGTGGCAGTGGAGTTCTCCGAGACTACGGCTGAGAAGTCCGACAGCGTCTCCTTCATGACGTCTTGCGCTTGTGCCGGCCGGCTCGTACGACTCGTATGCCGCGTTGGTGGTTGCTTGCAGCCGTACACAAAGGCTCGGGGAAGCCTACAGCAGGCCCAGGCCCAGCCCAAGCCGAGGATCACTAAGGCTAGAAGGAAGCCTCGAGACCTCAGCTTGAGGGACCGATGCCATGGCATCGCAGATCACAACCTGTTGCACAGATCGAATCTAATCCTCTTGCATATGGCTTGACTGGGAGTGTTCACAAATCTGTCCTGAAACTGTCGCACATCCACAGTTGGAAAGGCTGGCGAGGATTGAATCGACTAATTAGCCGTACTTCACGCTGGGGATCACAGTAATCTCAGCACGATCTGGCTTCCTTCGTATGCGGAACAACTGGAACAGCTGCGACATGGATTCGAGACCGTCCATTGATCTGCAGTCAGTGTGTCACCGCGCAATTGTCTCGTGCTCACTCTTCTACTCGCGCACGCAGACACCGAGAGTTTCTTTGTGCAGAAGCGGATCTGGTACAGAAGGAACACATGCCTTGGGCACTTTCCTAGATTCTGGTGCTCAGGGCCAGCAGCCCTTGCTGCCTCGCAGAAAACATCTCTGTCCGAGACTTTACCCGGCGCCAGGGGCTCAAACATCACCTTGGCCATGCATAACTCTGCACAGGCTGCAAAAGCACTCTCGGCGGACGAATCTACAGAAACTTCGGAGCGGCTGTCTGCGGGACAAACCCAGCTGCAGCCGGTCTGTGGTATCGGACCGAGCTCAGGGTCAAGCTCTGCAGCCAAAGTGAAAGGTGCACGCCGCGATTAGTGAATTCTTAAACCTTGCTCCTACACTGTCAGAGAAGTGAGGACTGCACCTTTCGCTCTACAGCTGATGCCTCACCTCGATCACGCTTTGCTATGAACAAAACGATCTGTTCTTGAGCTCGAAAACCGATCCACCCCGCACTCCAGAGAAGCGTTGCCCGGTCAGATTCTCATGCAGCACATCGAGCTTTTCGTTCAAGACTGAGCATTCTAGAAGCAACATGTGCACATCGATGCCTTTGGCCTCCCCCTTCATCCGCTCGCATCCAGCGATGAATTCCTGAAGCGAGATGTCTCCAGAGCCGTCTCGATCGAGGAGCTCTGCAAGGAGCGAGGCATCCCCTGGCCGGAATCCGATCATGTCGAAGTAGGCCTCAAATTTGAGAGCTTCTCTTCTGCGCCCCATATACCTGGGGGCCTTAAGACCTCTATCATATTGGCTTGGCTCCGCATCCGCCAAGCTGCGCTCATGACGGGGTCCTGCAACAGGAGCTGTATCTCGTCGAGGCTGATGGCCCCGTCACCTTGGCTACCAGCTTTCCGCGGTCCGGAAACCCTGTGAGGAAATGAGTGGAACGACGATGCTTCCACATTGGGCACTTAGGCGCCAGCCATTCAGGTCAGTCGCAACGAAAAACTCAATGATTTGATCCAAACTGGTGCGCTTCCTGTCGATCGTCTCTTCCTCCGGACTCTGGTCACTGTTCACCAACTCATGCAGAGCACATCGGAAGTCTACTTGAACCTTCGCTAGAGACAGCCCGAAATCAAGCCAAGCGTCGATTTGAATCTTACGCTGCTTCTTGGAATTCTGCACGGCATTGTCAACAAAAACACCTCAGTTTGACTATGATCCTAGCACTGGCGAGCTTCCGAGGCCAGCTGTCCGCTTTTTGCATGCCCAGCCCAAAAGCAGGCCTGTGAATACGTTCATCAAGGCCAGGATCGTGAAAATTATGTACGCAAACATCAAGCAGAAAGATAGCCTCGAGATGCTGTGACAAAGAAGGGGTGCCAGCTGTGCGAAGCTGAGGGCTGCAACGCTGGCTGGTATTGGTGCACATGTTCCTTTCATGAAGCTTGGAATGGCAATGCGTGCAATAACTTTCAGCCTGTCCCTGTGTGTCGCTCGTCTGCGTCGATAAACCCATGCAAAATCCCCAAACCGAAACACCGGATCCAGCATAGATACTGTCTCATGATGCATCACGTGTACAGATGGCTAGCTATGTTTGTGGTCATGCGTGCGTCCGGACAGAAACACATACATACATACATACACACTGTCACTCCCACATACACATGTACCTATACCTCTACCTCTACCTATCCCTATACCGAAACCTGTACAGAAACATATACAAACACATATTCTCGTCACTCGTGCCCGAACAAGTCAGACGAGGTTCGAGGGGAGTGCTGCACATCAAAGAGCTATGTTTGTATACATATTCGTACTCATATCCATATCCATATTCATATACAT